ATTCTTCAAGCTTCTTTTTTAAACCAAATAAATAACAAAATCAAAAAAAAAAAAATAAATTAACTAACACTTTTTTTCTTCAAAAATTTGCCCATACATTCCAAAATCTTCATTAAAAATCATTTACGCGAAATGAGAGACAGCGAAATCTCAGTTTTCCTCTAAATTTTTTGCAATTCACTTGAGAAGAACACATTGCCATGCGCAAACTGGTAATTTCTCCTGCTTAATTAACCTCAATTTCTTACATTCATTTTCTGTGTTAACAAACAAATAAATAAAAAACCCGCCATCTGCTGCTCTGCTTGACGGGTTGGAGTTCAAAAAAAAAAAAAAAATTATAATGATAAACGTTTCTTATCTAGAAGTTATTGCTGCTTTGTTGGCAGAATATCGAAAAATGAAAAAATTTATATGTGTGATATAGCCGTACATATGTTTACGTATGTATGTGTGTATACTCTATGACATTTAGATAAGAATTCGGTGCGCACATGGCTTTCACACAGCTCGATATGTTGAGCACAATAATTATGTGTTAATTCTGTTATGGACTTTTGTTGTGAATGGAATGGATTTTTAGCAATATTTTTCAATGCATACAACGTACATATATATATATTTACAGAAATCTATATCTAATATAGATATGAGTGCGAAAAAAAGTGAAAATATTCATATACAGAGAGAGACTTGCCTATGTATGCTTCGCTCTGGTTCTGATCGGAGTGGGCGTAAAAATATCAATCCATATAAAATACAAAAATCTACTTAACGTATTTCAAAAAAAAATATATATTTTATTTTGTTTTAAATCTTTTTATTTGAATAAATTTTATGCCTTTAATATTTTTAATTTAATTTTATCATTTATTTTATTTCATTTTAATTTAATTTGATTTTATCCTTTATTTTATTTTATTTATTTTATTTTATTTATTTAATGTTATTCCATTTAATTTTTTGTTTATTTTTATTTGTATTTTTTTCCTTTATTTTTTATTTTATTTTCTTTATTTTATATCTTTTTATTTTATTTTATTTTTTTTAATTATTATTTATTTTAATTATGTTTTATTTCTTTTTCCAATTCATTATGTCATATTGTTTTATTGTTATATTATTTATTTTATTTTTTTATTTTTTTATTTAATTTATTTTTTTTCTTTTGTTATATTCAATTCTAACTTATTTCATTTATGTCATTTATTTTGTTTTATATAAATTTATTATACTATTTTTCATTAATATTTTTATTTAATTTTTATTTATTTTTTAACTTATTTACCTTCTTACCCTTGCGGCTTGGCGCCCGCTAAAGTAGCAGGTTTGCGAATTACACTATCTTCCGTTGCGTCCGAAAGCGAAAATTTTGTATTCTTTTGCATAAAATCAAAGCACTTTGAGTAGATTTTGTAGAGTGCCAGGTTGCCTAAATGGAGAGATTACTTTAACTTTTTTCTCGTGAGCAAGTTAGCATCGGAAAGTTTGTTTTCAAGAGGGTAGTTTCCAAAGTATGTATTTCCCCTAGTCGGATACTCTTTAGACATGGAAAACTCTTGAGCATATGAACAAAGCATATGAAGCACAACCTCGTTCAGCCTAAGAATCTCCAAAGACTCTTTCTGAGAAAAAATCCACTTCTTATAGTTCAAATCTCGCGAGTGAAAGCCTGAGTATACACAAAAAGCGGTTCGACAGCGAAAATTGAACTTCGAAGAGCAAATCGGAGCAATGGTCGGCCAAGCGGTCGTGTATTCTCAGCAAGAGTTTCAACATCGAGTATTGAAAACCACAAAAGACATTGACGTGGTCTTTGACTATTTCATACAACCGCCGAAGTCCTACCAGTTCACCTGCCGCCACTTGTAGTATCTAATTGACTTAAACTGCGTATTTAAAATAATATTTAGCTCACTTTCACATAGCCGCGAGCCAGCAAATAACAAAGCACTACTAAAATCATGTCAACCGCGCACTCGCGCATTCTCTCTCACTCCTCTGCCCGCCCAGTGCTCATCATAATGAATCATAAAGAAAACAGATGTCTGCCCTTCGGCGTAGGGAAAAGGTTTATTTGCCTCTTTAGTTCGATGCAGTTCATTGGATGCTTTTCCTATACCTATATTCATGACCTCGGGCGCTTTTCGCCAGTTGATCTTAATCAAATATACACTTATACAAAGAGGACACGAAAAGCTGACAGCCGGCAGTCAAGCGGCGAGTTGAACGACAAATGAAAGCAGTAGCGGAAAACAACAAAAAGCACAGCAGTAGTTGACACGTAGAATAGAAGTTCTATGTAAGTGACGCATGTCAGTTTGTTGCGCGGTTGTACGGCGCTGCCGCTCCTGTGGCGCTGACTCAATCGAAGCAGTTTAAGGGTGTCCGCTGAGTTGAACTCTGTCGCCGTGTGTTAATAACAAATTACTTTAGGTGGCAGCGATACCGGAAGTCGATGCTGCTGGCGTGTGATACGCTTAGTTACATATACATGAATACATATCTACATATGTGGATATGTTTATGTGCATAAACAAATAAACTTAAGCACTTAAGTGGCCGGTGTGTGGCTCAATCAAGCACTCTCGAGTGAGTGTGAGTTCTGTTGCTCAGTTACTCTGCGAGGCATTGTTTGGCAATTTGTTTATCCTTGTTGAGGGTGTTAATAGATGTAAATTGTGTTAAAGAATGCTGAGCCATTCTTTGTTTGAAGATTTTCTTATATTGTATTTTCTAAGCTTATATTTCAACACTTGAAATTTTTTACAAAAAAAAGAAGAAGAAAAATAAGGAAATAAAAAGGACGCAGTTCTCATATTTCTCTCATTGATTAACTGCATTTATACAATCGGGGGGGGGCGAAAAAAAGTCCCACAGCTTCAGGAAAAGGAAATGCTCGACTTTATTACGTTAAAAAATATTTCCGTACACCGTACGCCGTTTAAGAGAAATAAACAGATGTTGAATTCAATCAGCACAGCCGTCAGCGGCAGGAGAAGTGAAGAGATTTACAAATATACATACATATGTACTCGTATATGTACGTGCATATTGGAGCAGGATATTTTTAATGCAAAAATAATAATATTTTTAATGTAAATAAATAAAATAATATGTGTATAATATAATAAAACGGATTTAAATAAATTTATAAACAATGAGAATAAAATAAATAAAACCACAAAATGAAGTAAAAGAAAAGAAAATATAAGTAAACTAAAATCACATGAAACAAAATTAAATTTAAAAAATAAAAACAAATTAATTTATTAAAATTGAATTAGATTAAATAAAATAAAATAAATTTAAATTGAAACTAATTAAAATTAAATAAAATTAAATTAATTAAAATAAAACTAAAATAAATTAAACTCATAAAAAAAGATAAAGTAAAATTAAAAAATTAAAATAAATTGAGTTAAAAAATAAATTAGATAAATTTAAATTAAAAGAAATAAAATAAAATATATTGAATTAATAAAATAAAGAAAAATAAAATAAAACATAAAATAAAATAAAATAAAACCAAATCAAATAAAACAAAATTAGATTCAAAAAATAAAATAAAATAAATTAAAATTCATACAATTCAATTCACACAACAACCAGGCCTCGTAGTTTACTTAATTCTTATATCAAAAAAACTACTATATATCATAGCCGCAAAAACAAATTATAAAATAAATTAAATTAATTAAAAAAGAATTAAACCAAATAAAATAAAATAAATTAAAAATGAACGCATTAAAATGAAACTAAAATAAATTAAACTAAAAAAAATAAAATGAAGTTAAATTAAATAAATTAAAATAAAATAAAATCAAATAAATTAAATTAAAAAAAAATAAAGAAAAAGAAAAAAAAAAACAAAAAAAAATAAGAAAAAGAAAAAAATAAAATTATTTTAAATAAACTAAAATAAAGCCAAATCAAAAAAAATAAATTAAAATAAAGTAAACTAAATAAAATAAAATAAAATAAAATAAACTTATTAAAATAAATTAAAAATGAAACTATTTGAAATAAAATTAAAATAAATTAAGTAAAAAAATAAAGAAAAATAAAATTAAATTAAATAAAATAAAAAAATAAAATAAAGTAAAATTAAATTAAATAAAATTAATTATAATAAATTAAATTAAATAAAATTTGAATAAATTAAAATAAAATAAAATAAAATTAAATTAAAACAAATTAAATAAATGAAACTAAAATTTAATTAAGCTAAATTAATTAAAATAAAATGAAATAAAGTCAAATAAAACGAAAGAAAAAAATAAATTTAAAATTAAACTAATAAAAATAAAATAAAAACAAAATAATTAAAATAATATTAACGTAAAATAAAATAAAGCAAAATAAATCAAACAAATTAAGTAAAAAAACGTACAGAAAATTGTAATAATAAAAAACAACAGGATATAATAGGCAAAAAAATTAAACAAAACTATTTCAAATAAAAAGTAAAACAAAATTTAAAAAATTTAATATAACAAATAAATAAAATTAAGTTAAATATTTTACATAAAAAAAATAAAATAAATTGCAATAAATCACAATTAAAAGAAATGAAATTAATTAAATTAAAAAATAAAACTGAATTAAAATATTTAATAAAAAACAAATTAAATTAAATAACACAAAAGAGAATGAAATATACAAAACTCTCTCCAAGTGGAGAGAAAGCTTCCGTCTGCGAGGAGAATTTTTCAAGTCCCTTGAAATTATAATCTTAAGGACTCATTTGCTACCACCGAATCGCTTAGATCTCCATTAATATGGTTAGCGCTTGGAATACCAAGATTCTTGTGAAGAGTATGATGTTACAGTTACCGTGAGAACTATTTAAACTTAATATATTTATGTTGTGCGAAACAGAGCATTTTAGCTTTGTAAGATATTCCAAATAAAGCATATATATATATATATATATATATATATTTTTATTAAACAATTAAAATAATAAATTTTTTCAATTTTTATTTTCAGATTTTTCCTGAAATTCTTTTTGAAATGCAATCAAAACTGTCTAAAAAATGCCGGTAATCCCAGAGATATGAGACGCTTTCAGGTAGAGTACCTATTTTTGAAGGCTTTACAAAATTTTCAAGCAAAAAAAAAAAAAACAAATATTTAAAAATATACTTTTTTCTATCCAGGTGGTTGTCTCCACACAGGTAACCGTTGATGGTCCACTACTGGCTATATCCGATAATATGTTTGTACACAACAATTCGAAGCATGGACGGCGTGCTAAGCGTTTGGATACCACGGAAGGTACAGGAAACTCCTCACTGTCCTTAACGGGTCACCCACTTGCGCCTGACAGTACCTATGATGGTCCGTAACAAAATTGATTTACTTCATTTGCTATTTTTTTTTTTCTTGAAATTTTAGTTTTGATTAGAGTGAAAAGTAGTACAAGTTTGTTGGTTATAATTTAGAAAGCTGTAATTTAGTAAAAATCAAATATTATTAGAGTAAAAAATTCGGTATAAATTACTTTAAATCATTTGCGAATATTAATTTTATTAATTTATTTATAATTAATTGCGCCTAAATGTAGGCCACACAATTGAAGTTAACATTTAATGCCGCAGGCATAATTGCTTGGCTGTAGTTTTTTATGAAGAAAGTATTGCCTACATTTAGGCGCATTTTCTAAAAAGTTTACAACAGTTTTGTATTTTTAAATTTGTTATTAACTTTATTATTTATCGAAAATTCGTCTAGAATATTTTTACGGTCGTACACTTAGCTACACAACCCTACCCTCCTTAACACTACATATTCACATATAGTATATGTGGCATCTGACTTAAAAGCCTTCCTTTCTTCATTCATTACAGGTCTCTATCCACCATTACCTGTGGCCACACCCTGCATCAAAGCGATTTCACCCAGCGAGGGTTGGACCTCCGGTGGAGCAACAGTCGTTATTATTGGTGATAATTTCTTTGATGGCCTCCAAGTTGTCTTCGGCACAATGCTCGTTTGGAGCGAGTTGATAACATCGCATGCCATTCGTGTGCAAACACCACCACGCCATATGCCCGGGGTCGTGGAGGTGACTTTGTCGTATAAGAGTAAACAATTTTGCAAGGGTTCGCCGGGACGTTTTGTATATGTTTGTGAGTAAAATGAAATTGATAAAAGCGGAAAAATAATTAGTTATATTATTTCAAAAAATAGAAGCAAACAATTATTAAGAATAATTATAAAATTTAAAAAGAGGAAAAAGAATTAAAATACATTTAAAAAAAAAAATAAAAAAAAATAAAAAAAAATAAAAAAAAAAATAGAAAAATCCACATAATGTAGTAGCATTAAATCATATCTACCGAAATTTTGCTAAACCTCTAATTTTCTCACTCACTACTCTCCTTCTTCTCTTCAAGTAGCGCTCAACGAGCCCACCATCGATTACGGTTTTCAACGTCTACACAAATTGGTGCCACGTCATCCTGGTGATCCGGAGAAATTGCAAAAGGAAATTATACTCAAACGTGCCGCCGATTTAGTAGAAGCACTGTACTCCATGCCAAGGTAAGCACCTCTTCTATCTCTAACTAACTAACCAAGCCTTCAATTAATGCCTCTTTTGTAATCGAAATACGATTCTTTTCTCTTCTCTTAGATCTCCCAGCGGTTCGACTGGCTTCAATTCATACACCGGCCAACTGGCTGTTAGCGTTCAGGACACGGCCGGCCAATGGACTGAGGATGATTATCAACGCGCCCAATCGAGTAGCGTGAGTCCACGAGGCGGTTATTGTAGCAGCGCTTCGACACCACACAGCTCGGGTGGGTCTTATGGTGCTTCGGTGGCCGCTAATGGTTATGGACCCACCACCAATATGGGTACGTTAAAGTCTTTATCTCAATTAAAATAATTAGTTATAACTGTTTGTGTGATTGCATGAGTTCGTAGAAAGAATATAGAAAGACATGAGGAAAACTTTGGTAATAGTTTGAAGTAATTATTATTCTTCTGAAGATGAAGTATTTACAGAAATGGTTACAGCTTATCCAGGGGACCGTCTTTGAGCTTACCTTGACTCCCAAAGTCAAGCAGGCCCTTGATATTAAGGGGGACAAGATTTTTGTTTTGAAGGTCCTGAAGATTGCACACAAGTAAAGCGATCAAGAATAATAAGGACTTCGACCTGTTAGTCTTTATATCTTATTTTGTAGAAGAACTAAGAGTCCATCCTTCAATTTGTAATGTTGTACGTCTGCCTAGGGATGGACCCGTTGAGATACACTTTTTACTAGTGCGCCCTGATACTCATTCGATAACATCATAATGAAATATCGGCGCCAACAAATTGATGATATAGCAATTTCTGAATAAATGTGACAGTCTAGACATCTTTATGAGACGTTATTTCATTGGAGCACAGCATAAGTTTCAGATCGGAAGGCTACACATATTCAACTCACTCTCTGGCCAACTAATATGAAAATAATCAACTAGAAAATAGCCAACTACTGCAGAGACCTCTCCCACAACGAACCCATTGGTGTCTACGTGCTAGACTAGCATCCAGGAAGCTCTATTCAACAAGTAGTTAAGGGTCGAGAAGGGTAATCATAGATTATCTAGATTCTTAGAAGATGCCATTACGGAGTAACATGAGAGCTATTAGCCGTCAGTTAGGTAGGTTAAGAGCCCTAATTGGCCGACTTCGTCACATTCTGCTCTTTGGTTTTATCCCATGGTGGGATAGTGTGGACAAGCATCCGAATTGACTTGACTGATAGTCAAGGCTTCATTGTAAATCCGAAAAAAACTGAGATCTGCGTCTTCACAAGATACTCCCCAACTCGTTCAAATTTCACATATTAATTCTGAACAAATTTGGTACTCCTGCAGAAGTATTAACATTGCGCCAAAATAGCTGTTCGACCCCAAATGGGGGCCCTGTTATGATGGGCTACCCACCCTGCGGACAAGTCTTGAGCTATCGGCGAAGATGACTGTAGATCTCTGCATTTTCATCTCTGGATTTTTTTGTTGAGAAAATGTTATCGAGACAGAAAACTGAGCTGGTGTAGTCAAACCGCTTCCGAAAATGGTGTTAGGTACTGCGGTACAGGTCTATTGGTAGAAGATTGAGGTGAATTTCGAGGGCTTTCGTAGGAGTTGAAATTACCGCTTCTGCAATGAGTAGGGAGGCCGTTCGTAGAACTTTCACTTCAGCTTGCTTCTATCTAGAGCCGACCACTCGTCAGTGACTCCGTGAAATAAAATGAGTCTTATTGCCGCTTTGAAGAGCTAGTCCGGTTTTAGACTCTTCGCTGCCATTCCTCTATCGAACTTCGCTTTCTATTGGCTGCTGTTGATTTTACTATCTCAGATTAGCCTAGGTTCTGGACCTCCTCAGTACATAAAGTAAGTGGTGGTTGCAATGGCCGAGTAGTAAGCAGTAGGTACAACCATTCAAATTCGAGTGCTGGACCAACCAGCAGCACAAACGTTCCTCATGCTCTCCGAGTGGATTTCTGACCTGAAATAAAAGTTTCTCAGATGAAATAATCAAACGTTCTGAGACGGCTTAGAATGAATTGTACGTCCAACCATTTAATGAGAAAAAATTAAGACGCACATCATAAATTTGAGCAGAGACTCGACCGAAAATCGCCTCGCAGTGAGAGAGCCCCAATTATGTAGATAGAGTGATCACTATGCCTTTGAGTAAGTACCTTGTGGCGAAGAGTACCAAATTAATCTTTGAAGGATTGCATACTCTTTAAGGACCGGACCTTTCTTAATCCTCTTTACAAGGCCGTGAAGGAAGGTGCCGTAAAATGCACCCTTAGAATAGCTCATCCAGTAGGCAGCTCGGAGGTATTTCTTAAGTATATAAGGCATCAAGCGTTACCTCTCAGATTGGTATTCAAGTTGTAAGGGTTGGGTTTACATACGGCGAGAAAGATGCTTTATAATACCGTCCTTTAAAGAATAGGACCTTCAACAAAGCCTCAGAACCAAAGAGAAGTAGTGACTCGCATCTTTCCAGCATATATAAATAGGGCTCAAAGGATACCGTTTTAGTTTTCAGTAGTTTTGTATATATACTCTGCAGAGATGTGTAAAGTAATAAATAAATATTTTTTTTTTATTTTTTATATATTTTATTTTTTTTTTTGGAGTAATATAAAAAAAAATAAAAAATAACTAATTTATTTAATTAATTGTAAGAAAAGTAGTATAACATTTTTTTTAGTTTTAGTATGTGTGCATGCGTAAATCATTAATTTAGTTGCTAACCCAACGATTTTGTTTAATTTTTTTCTTTTTCTCTTTTCTTTGCATGGGCTTGTTGTAAAACAAAAAAAAATTATAAAAATAAATTAAATTATTTAAATGTAAAATTTCTGTACCATTGCTGTATTTTTATAATTTTTTTGCAATTAAATATTACATTTTGTAAATTTATACAAAAAAATACACTACTTGAAAAAAAAAAAAAAATTATGTAAAAATCATAAAAATACAAAACCAAAAAAAAAAAAAAAAAAAGAATACGAACAAATATGCTCAGGCAGTGCCTTTTCGCCATTAATCTCAACAGTATCGTCACCGTGGCATCAGGCGCTAGTGCAACACCATCACACACATCCGCANAAAAAAAATACGAACAAATATGCTCAGGCAGTGCCTTTTCGCCATTAATCTCAACAGTATCGTCACCGTGGCATCAGGCGCTAGTGCAACACCATCACACACATCCGCACCCATATCATCACCACACCCACCAGCCGTGGCACAATCCAGGCGCCTCCATTGCAACGGCGGCAGTGTAGAGAGCGCAACGAAAGCGCGAGGAGCGAGAGAGAGATAGCACACTCTGAAATGAAATGAATGGTATATAAAAGCATTTTTTTATAATTTAAATTAAGTTACTTACTGGCTGTGTAGCAACTATGCAAATTAGGCAAAAATTAATTTAGAAAAAATATATTTTTTTCACACGTCGCACTATGCGCTTGAGCTGCGGCGACTACTAACTGGTTATCTGTCGATGAAAATGCATTTATTTTTGCGTTCACGAGCAACAGCAGGTGCGTACCAGAGAGTTTTCAGCAAAATGAATTTTACTTTTTTTTCTAAAAAAAAAAAAATAATTTTCATAATTCTTTTTTATTAAAAAATCGACAGCTAACCCCTTCTGGCCAATTTCCCGGTACGCGCCTGAGCATTACATACAAAAAACAGTTTCACTATATACATGCATATACAATTCTGTACATAAATACAATATTAAGCTAAAAGCTCTTTTTTATTTTGAAAGCTTTATAAAATTAATAAAATATTTGAAACATTCTTCTTTCTAATTAAAAAAGAAAGAATTTGCATTATCTATCTACTTAACAAAGCATAACAGCTATCATACACGTATGAGCAATTTAAATATTTTATTCATAAAAATCTCATTAAGCCTTAAAGCTTTTCTTTCGAGCTTTTTCGAAGCTTTATTTATAAATTTATTTATTTTCATCTTTGTGTGTAAAACTTTTTTATATAAAAGCAGTTTAAGCCTTTTAAAAGCTTTCACATAAAAGCTCGTTGTATAACGGAAAGAAATATACAGTTCTAGTGCTTTTCCTCAAAATTAACTGTAATAAGTAACAAAAATAAATCATAACTCTTTACAAGTTACAGTTTAGAAAAGTTTTTGTCTATTAAACTGCTTAAAATTAAAAGAAATCACTTAAACTTTTTATGAGCTTTTATTTTTTTATTAATTCCCCCTTCAGAATTTCCAAAAGTTACATATATTCAACGAAGTAAGGTTTATACCATTTTATGCTTCGTTATGCAAATCGCTTAAAGTGCTTTCAAAGCTTTTAAATATTTTCTTGTGTCTACAGATATTTTTATGTCAAGTTAAAAATCTCGCTGGAATTGTGGAAAGTTTATGGTGTATAGCTTTGTTTTTTTTTTGTAATATATATATCTTTAAAAAGTTTGCAAGAGCTTTTATGCTTTTTATGTATTTGAAGTGAGCTTTAAAGACTTTTATATTTTTATATATCTCGTTTACTTAAATGAGTGAAAGCTCAAGTTTAAGTGTAAGCTTTTTTTCAGCTAACTCCCTGTGCTTATTTAACTACGAAACTTTCATATAGAAAATAAATTTTTCAATTTTGCATAGTTGCTACATTTAATTATATATATTTGTACATACAGACTTTTTTTATATATTTTAATCTTTATTTAATTTATTTTTTTGTTCTTCATTTTCAGGAGTAAGCGGTCTCAGCTTCAACCCATTCACGCTGCCAACGTGCAATACCCAAGGCTATGGCACTAGCCAACTGGTGACATCCACTAAATAAAATGCGTATTGGCTGACAAACATATTACTGGAACAGCAAATATCAAACAAACATATTCAATACGAGTACATATGAGAGAAGCTGCGATTTGTTCGAAGAGAAAGAGTCATATTCAAATTACATATCTTTTTTTTTTTTAATTAAGTTTAAGCATAAAAGAAAAATTTAAATAAAATATTACAACAACAAAAAATATTGAAAAGTAATATCAGAATAAAAAATATTTAAAAATATTAACTAAGTAAGAATAAATGACAAAAATATGTAAGTGAGCATATATGTATGTATACCGTTTTCTTCAATTATAAGCGTTAATAGATGCATAAAATTATTCAAAAATATCAAGTATTGTATTTGAAATTTAGTAAAAAATTTAAAATATAACAAAATAAAATAAAATAATAAAATTATATAGAAGTATAAACATACAAATTAAATTAAATGAAAAATTAATTGAAGGCGAAATAAAATAATGTGTTATAAAAAATTTACAGAATTAAATAAAATTAAACAAAATCAAATCACATAAAATAAAACAAAATGAAATTAAAAAAAATTTAAATTAAATTAAATAAAGTAAAATAAAATAAAAAAATAAATGAATTAAAATAATATAAAAAATAATATAAAAAATAAAATAATAAAATTGAAAAAATAAAAAAATAATATAATAAAGTAAAATAATGAAAAAAATAAAATAAAATAAAATAAAATAAAATAAAATAAATCAAAATAAAATAAAATAAAATAAAATAAAATAAAATAAAATAAAANAAATATTAGTTATTAAAAAATAAATAAAAGTTAAAAAATATATACATACATATATATATCTTTCAAAACAAGGCAGACATCAAAACGAAATATAACATAATATATCATTATATTAAAATATTAAAATTAAATTAATTTATTTGAAAAAATATATGAAAACATAAGTGAAAAAAAACAATGTAGATAGTTAATGAATTTTAGAAGAATTTGTATACGAATTTTCTCTCAAATCTACAAAAAAAAAATATTAAAACTTAAAAAATTACAGAATAAGAAAAAATACGAACAACAGATTTCTTAACAGCAACACAGATAATGAACCTACACTAGCTTAGCATTAAAATTTAGCAAAAATTTCCCTTCTTTTTTTGCTCACAATGAAAGAAAGAAACAGGAGGTAATATATTGAAGATTCAAGTAAAAAAGCAACAAAAAAAATTATAATAAAATAAAATTTAACTAGAACAATGATAGCAATCTAATTACATAGTTACATACATACATACATGCATATGAACAAAAAAAAAATGCAATACTTTAAATATTTACAAATTCTTAATAAAATATTGTTAATAAATAAAAAAAAAATGTGAAAAAATATATATTAAAGATATCATAACTTTAGGACTAGCAGCAAATGGTTACTTTTAGAACAAAGTGTAGAAAAAACATGCATTTTTTTGTTTTGTTAGATTTTTTTTATTAAATATTATTATTTTTGAAAAAAACTTAAAGTGGATATTTTTTGTGGTATATAAATTTTTTTAGAAACACAAAATACAAAATTGAAATTTTTTTATAAACCGATTTTTTTTTTTTTTGTAAATAATTTATTTTTTTCATTATGATTTTAACTATGTTTTCCTTTTTGCAAGAATATTGTTGTAAAATGACCATTTCCTGCTGCCCATATAGCTCGTAAATTGTTTTTGTATTATAGTTTTACTCTTATTGCACTTACGAATGTATGCAGTGTGTTTGAAAAAAAAATATTACAACAAATCACACTTTCTTTCGTACGGTAATATTTAGTGTTTTCTAAATAATATTTGTAAAATATATTGAAACTGTAAAATGGAAAATTTAAAAATAAATAATTTAAAAATAAAAAGTATAATTAAATAACGGAAATTTGTAAATTTACTTCACCCGAGTACGGTAAATATTAACTGTTTAACAGAATTATGGTAAGAAAAATTGACTTTTTCAAGCCTTTTTCATGTGAAAACATTTGCTTCCTTATCCAGTCTGGAGAAAACAGAACTCGAAGATTATCCCTTCCCTATTCAGATCTACAGCTCGTATTATTTTCTCTAGCAATCATTTTTCTTGAAACCTCATTTGGTATCGAACGGCTCGGCGCGATATTTTAGTGCTGCTTAACGTCAGTTCGCGGGCCGACTCTTTTGACTCCTTGCAAATCCAATCCTTGTATGTGTCAGAATGGGACCGGAAGAGTCCATATAGTGTATACGATTATCTGTTGAGGAGATGATTGAATGAAATAGACTTTCTTTCACAGCAGGGTACGCCCAAGCAAATTCTACCGATAACGTATTTATTTATATTGACAATTCACGCTGAGGTGGGCCCAGAACTTGACTTGTCGCAAGCCCGTGACAAAACACTGATTGATAGGACGATGCGCTGAAAAGTCTCCTTTATTGTCGATGTTTCGTTTTGAGTATATTTAGTATTTAACTGCCTAAAGTCGTTTCGTGTGAAAATTTCCATCAATAATGAAGATGTACCTCTCTCAAGCTCCACCTTTTGCTAGGTTAAGCTACAATGGCTGGCTGCTAGGCCATACAAATACCTATCACTGTATTATTTTGACGGACGGAGGTTCAATATAATTAGAGATGAAGTAATCATCATACTTTAGACCCACCATTTCTGCCCAAAGGGCGTAGTCCATTCCACACTGAGCATTTAGACCTCATAAACTCAATTGTGCATAGTTTTTAGCGCCTTGCTCTGAGGAAGTGGCCTGATGAATGCCACATTTCGTTATCTCATCAACTCTTTCGTTTTCGACAATGCATTTGCGCCTCGGAACCTAGTTGGTAAACACTTGCATCACTACAGCTTTCCTCACCACTGCTTCCCTGTTCCTAAGATCATCTTCAGATTATTGCCTTGCTATTTTCTTTAATATGGCTTAGCACAGGCGGATGTATTAGCCGATTCTTCCAATTGCAAGGAATGTCCTGCCCTCCGAATATATTCCAGACATGAAATAATTAGATCCTCATAAAAATCCATTAGCCGTTCGGAGGCAGCTTCATTTGTTGATCACCAGCGGCTATGAAATGTCAATTCTTCTTTTAAGATTTTTTTTTTTTTGGTTTTATAAAACTTGCGTTCTTTTTATAAATTTTATTTCCCTAACACCATTTCCGTTCTTTCACTTTTTCCAAATGTTATTTTGTTTACAATACCGTTTTCCGTTTCATACACATTTCGTATCGTCGCCACCACTGCGTATCCAAATGAATTTTTACCCACCACAGCTGTCAGTCATAAACATTTGTCATTTGCACGGTTTTCCAAAGATCTGGCAACAATTGGGATGACGTTTTCTTTCACTCGATTATATTCGCTCTGCTGTTCTGTTATTGAGCTGAGGAAGCTTTACGAAAATTATTAAAATTTTATTGGAAATTAATTGTGAGTAATGTTGGATTGGTACTAATTTGTGTATGTTTGTCAAATCAAATGGAATTCAATGTGAAGAAGTAATTTTTTAAATGAAAATAACCAATTTCTTGAGTGACCGAATAAAAATTTCACTGCGACTCCCATTTTCGGTTAGGGTCGTGCCTCGCGTATTAAATGTATGTGCTTAAAAGAGAAAGCCATAACTAGCCAATGTAATTTGGCAAGTGTGTGTATGAACGAGAAGACAAGTGTTGTTTTTTTCGTTTTAGTGTAAAGTTGAAGAAAATTTTTGAGCAAAGAATTTAATAATGAGATAATCTTTGTATTTATCCAAATAACATCAGCAAAGTGAAAGAAAAGCCAAACAAATTGATAATTGTTGAGATAATTAATTGAATTTCCTATAAATGTAATGAGTAAGTTCGTGTTATGTGGCTAAATATCGATAAGTCGCAACAGCTGATGCACTGGTGCGTTTAAAAATCTTTAGTGGCAAACCCCCACGCCGGTGTGGGCTTATAGAGCATAGCAGTAAGCACTAGAAAAACACCAAAGAGTGTGTGATTCACAGGTTTTAAGCAGGCGTAGCACCTTTCCAAAACTGCTACTATACCTTAAATACTGCTTTATTAATTGTGGAATTTGTTTTGGCTAATATATATGTACATACATATATATATATAATATTTTGTGTCTATGTAACGTGTGAAAGAAAGTTTCGTTTAGGAAGGCTTTTTTGCTTTCGTTTCCATATATATTTTTTGTTGTTGCATGAATCGAAGGATTGGATTGCTGTTGTCTTCTTGTGGATTATTGTGTGTGCTCGTGGCTAAGCAAAAGACGACTGCGACAACCACGACCACGACCACAACGATCGCAACGAGGTCTATCGGATTGTCGGACGCATTGCTACTTGAAAAGACCCACTGCTGCTGGTGCTGTTTGTTGGGTCACTTAAGGAAGTCTGAACAGTCAGTCTCTGTTCTGGATATTCGTATTGTAATTGCATGATGGATGCTGGACAGCAAGAAACTAGACAGGTATGTATCATGTCGTAATGTATGCGTTCATATTCTTATCTATTTTTAAGCGACACAATTGCAATGAGCACAGCAGCATAAAAGTTGAATGATTTGAACATATGTACACATGCATATAGTGAGTGTGTATATACATATGTACATACTTACTCATATCTATGCATAACATCAGCCGAATCGTTGGCACTTGTTTACCTACGAATTTTAATGTGGCAGCATAAAGGGAAAGAGATATGATATCATCAAATGTCAAACAACAATTTGTCGCTTACAGACTGGTTCGTCGTGAGCATTGCAAGTGGAGTGGGCAATTTTGTTTAGAAATTTTGCTACACGGTTTTCGTAAATAGTGCCAAACTGCCTAAGGAATCTAAATGTGCAGAAACTCTTATAAGAACTCAACTGTAGGTTTCTTTTGAAGAAATTATTGAAAAACTTGTAGGAAAATATGAAGAATTTATAGAAAATATATTTCTTCTTCGTATAGCCAGATAGAATAATGAAAAAATGGAAGAAACTATGAAATGAAGTGTTAACAGAAATAAGATAAGGATTTACCACCTAACAAGTGATAATACTTCGTAAAGCATAGCAATTGTGTCACTAATTATTGGATTGTAGTTCATGAATTTAAGATGTGGACAAAGTGAAAATAATTTTTTTTTGTGCTACCTTTGAACACTGTACATACATATATATGTTCGAACAAAGCTTCGAATGTAGGCTTTGCCTCGCATGCCAGAAATTCCAGCATCTTCCCAGAAACAAATCAAGCCGTAAAATTTTTAACTTAGAGTACAACAAGGTTCATATTTTAACTGGATCATTGAAGTTACAAGTGGAAGCGCATTAAAAACACATACATACATACATATATTTTCATGCACTCCACATTCCAACATACTTATGTACCTACATGCAAGCACGCTAACATTGTGGGTAGCTGTTTTTCAAGTTGAATTTAATTGTTGCAACTTGTGTGCGCTTGCTTGCTGCACACTTGCTACCCGTCTTATGACGAAGATGTTGGTGGCTATTAGATGCATTTAAGAAAATCTAAAAGCAATTAGGAAATTGAAAGCGTAAAGATAGACCACAATACACAATTGATGGTGTCAGTCACATTTAATACACCTACAAATACTCAGATACTATGCATGTACATATGTATGCACATTTACTGGCGATATACTAAATTAATGTATGTGCTTTTGTCGGCTTTATTCTCTGTCCACCTATCTGCCTACATACAATCATAAGCAAGCTTTGTGCAAGTTATACGCTTTGCCGTGAGCGTTATGAGCCAAGCACCTGGATTTGGTATTCCACCTACTCAAAAAATGTGTCAGGCAGCGACTTGTTTATTCTTTTTTTTTCTTTTATGATTTTTCACTTTAAAATTGTTATTGTTTTTATACAATTTTTATTGGTTTGTGATTTTTTTTTTTTTGCGCTGCTGCTTTAAAGTGCTTCTAAATTGTAAATTAATATAAAAATACCACAAAATGTTGTCATATTAAATACTGTAACAGCAAACAACAACAACGGCTATTATTTCCATTTTCGTTACAAAGCAAATTGGCATCCAAAGCAAAAAAAGCAAGAGTATGCGCGAATTCGCAAAAAAAAAAGAAGAAAACAATAACAAAAATGTATAAGTGAGTCAAAACATGTGTTTCAAATGTTCGAAAATTGTATTTTTGCATATGCACATTAATAAAAATTAAAGCAATAAACAAAAGAAAAAAATGCAAAAAAAAATATTAAAGGAAAAGCGTAGTGTCTTCAAAACCGCATACGCTTTTTTTTTTTACCTACGTTGCTGATAGCCATCAGTCAATTAGGTTACACCCAAAAAATGAGCAATGCGATGGCATGCCAAACTAGCTGCTACTGTATTGGCTGCCACCCCCTTTCTCTCCCACGAAGAAGTACACAAAAAATGTTTAAACATTTTTCTCTTTTTCTTAATGCCTACATACATACATAAATACAAAACGCACAATATTACTACCGGTCGCGTCTGTCGTTTACGCTGTTGATTATGTCAACAGTGCCTGTTCGAGAGTGTCGAGCGCGAGTGTCGCGAATTACTAGTTAGCTGCGGGCGGTGCGCTGTGCAGTTTTTTTAAATTTATTTATTTTAAATATTTAAAAAATTTACGCTCTGCATATATATAATTATTTTTATTTATAAATATAATATGAAATATATTATTATTTTATACTTAAAAACTGATATAACGTTTTATCTCTCTCCCCACATTAGGCACATCAGCGTGCTTCCGTTAAGTGGCTACTAGCCAAAGCATTCAACAATAATGTTCCAGATAATATACGTGAACCCTTCTATACGGATCATGATAATCAAGAACGTTTAAAACCGCAAATTGTTGTGGAAATGGGCAATGCAACGCTCTACTGCCAGACACTATCGAATATATATTCGGATCCGAATTATCAAAGTCTGAATCATTGGTCCATATTGCAGACACTATCACGCAAGGGTGTGCCAGTTGCTGAGTCACCAGAGATGCCATTAACCGAAACGGTTTTGATACAAACGAATCCTTTAAGGATAGTAAGTAGTCATTTGTAATTAATCATAATTTTACTTTTTAGTTTTGAAATTTAAAATATGTAAACTGCTTAAAAAAATTGTTGTTGACAGTATTTTACTTTGAGTTTGAACGAAAAATGTGCAAAACGTAATACTAAGACATTTAACAAACTGGAAAATCAAACGAAAATTTAAAAAACACAGCCTAGAGCTCGAAAAAAAATTAAATTGAAAAAGAATCAAACATTTTTTAAGCATTAAAACCTTTAAGTGCTACTTAATTCATTATTAACTTAAAAATTACTTTTATAAACCGCCAATTATTTTTCAGAACGCCCACATGTCCGTGATACAATCACTAATGACGCTTTATGCTAAAGAAATAACTTCAGGCGAACGCATAGCAAATGCCGTTGCAAGGTAAAACAACAATTTAAAAATATAAATAATATTCAATATTAATTGTAAAAAAAATGGAATTTTTCTTTATATTAACAGAATTACGGGCACAAATGGTCAAACTCTACCACACGATCAACCCTTTGATCAACTGCTCTTGTTGTGGATCTCACATGCGTGTACATCGCTGAAGAAACGCATAGCCAGAGAAGTTGAATTGGGCGCAACGGATGAGAATGTGAGTTTAATATGTTGTTTGCAGCCAGTTTTATTATATTTATCAATTGGATTTTTCCGTTCCAGGGCGTTCGTATGCAAGTGCCCAACATTCCTGCCGTACATGATTATCAAAGTTTATGTGATGGCGTTTGTTTAGCTTTATTTATATCGTATTATTGCCCAAAAGCACTACCATGGACGTTAGTGCGAATTAATTATTTACCAGCGGTGGAGGATTCCATACACAATGTGTCTTTAGTCAGCAATTTTTGTCAAAAACATTTGCCATATAATGTGTTCCATATGAATCCGGAAGATGTGACATATATGCGAAAGTGAGTGGCTGAAACTTAACTTTGAAATAAATAATTTTTAACATTTAAATTCCTTCTCTTTTGTAGCTCAATGAAGTTGAATTTAGTTGTTTTACTAGCGGATTTATTTCTACTATTCGAAATTCATCCAGCAAAATGTGTTTGTTATCCCGGCATGGATGCGCCAGGTAAGTTGTTAAAAAATATATATTATTCAATTCAGTTTGCTATATTTAGCGCAATTCCCACCTTTTATGGTATATTTTTTTTTTGTTTATTTGCACATCAACTCATGAGCGCGCGCCTTTGAAAATATGTTGGAAGCAAAGCAAATCGCAAAAAAAAAAGAATTTGTAAAATATTTAATACTTTGAAGTTATGCTTCTTTCTCTTTTTTTCACTTAATTATTTGTATATGCAAACAAATGCACAGAAAAAGTAGGAAAAAACAGAATACAAAAGAAATATGTATTTTCTTTACAACTATAGCTGCTATGCTGTGTATTTTTTGCTAAATGCAAAGCAAAGAAAAAAAAGTAAAATATAATTCATTTCAAAATTTATGCAATGTTTGCCAGAGAGCCACAGAATATGAAAGAAAACTTAATTAAATGCTAAAAAAGCGCAAAGTGTTAAATTTTACACCAGATTAGCGAACGTTTTTGCTCCACACACTGCGTATGGCACTTGTTATGTGCGAGCTCTTTTGATTTTCTTATACGTTATCTCTTTTTTTTCTACTTCCCTAGTCACCAACCCGTAAAGATTTTTCTAATTAAAAAAAAAAAATAAAAGAAAAGAACTGCAAGTAATTTGATTGAATTATCTACTTAGTATTCCAACTTTGCTTTCAACTTGCACACTTACTAAATGCCCCACCTTCAATTGAGCACTATGAAAAAAGCTCTTTAGTATACGTACCCGCCATAAATCGCGCACATACTGACATAAATGTTAACATTTAATATTAAAATTGATTTTTTTTGCCTTTCTGAAATTAAATTCAATTAACCAACCCAAACACTTATATACCAAATCTCTCTTTCTCTATGTAAAAAAAAAAAAAAATTAATAAAATAAATCAAATGTGAAAAAATCCAAACAAATCAATTTTTATGTGCCACAAATAATTGTAGAGGTCATCAGTAAACGTAACTTTGGCGTTAATGAGCATGGAATATGTCATCGCAGAGGTCTCACAATGCAGCCAGTCATACCAATACCAGATTTGAGAAGCGATTCTGATTCGAATTATGGCTCGCCAACGAATCGACCGCCATTTCAAGGTCTTTACCATTAGAAAATACAAAAACAAAAAATCTAAAAAAAAAAAACAAAAAAAAAATACAAATTCAAATTTAGTTAATATATTTGTTTAGCATTGTTCTGTGTTACATACATACATACATGATTACTATATGTACATATATGATTTATTCTTTTGATTGTTTCAAATGCGTTGCAGTACTTTTAATTAATTACAAATAATTAGTGCATGTTTTCTCTCGTTCATTTCCTGTTGTGTGCATTTTTTTACTGTCAATATCTCCTTAAGTTTGGCACACATAACACGATATTTTTTCGTAAATGTTTTGCCCATGTTTTTTATGCGTTAATTAAAAGTTCTGTTTGTTCGTTGCACTCATTTGTTGCAGATTCATTTAATTGTAAGAATCATAATTTTTCGACATTATTTCATGCTGTTTTTTCATGTCTTAGGGCCTCATTTTGCAGCCGTCCTGTTTAGTACTCACTTTTTACATTTAAAATGCATAAATTTGCAGCTTTCCGCCACAAGCAACATTTTGCGCATAATTTTGTATTTTCTGTATTGCTACAGCCCCTTTGCCACGCATCTTTTTTGTTCTAACAGCTTCGCTAAGGCACACAAGATGCTCACTTAACGCAGAATTTGCACGCAACTTACTAATTTGTGTATGAAATATGTTTGACTGTTGCAAAAAACTAACTCTTAGCGGAGAAAAATTAAAAATAAATAAATCTTTCATTAAACATAATCATTATTTCTTAAAAATTTTCTTTTTAAAAGAAAAATTAATGAAAATGAGTTTTTAATAACATTAATTTCACATTTCCTCAGTATAAAATTGAATAAAGTACATTTTTCTTAAACTAACCTCAAAAAAGCATTTAAAGCTGTTATCATAAGCAAAGAAAAAAAGTGTACGACTACCTTTAGCTCCGTTTTGTCTATTTCCATATAGTAGAATAGATGTGTAATGAAATTTTTGATATATAATTTGATTTAATTTTTTTTGCGTTTTTTTTTTTAGTATTTTCTAAAATTTTATTTTTAGAAATTTCATTAAATGATAAACTACACCAGTAAAGAAGAAGAATACTGAATTAGATTAAAAAAAACTACTATTCTGAGACTTAATAGTGTATATCAATTTTTTACTAAAAAAATCTTCATTTTCGAAAACATTAATTTGACAAAAATAAGCTTTAGAAAAAATTTGAGAAATTTCCACATCCTTCCAAAATTAAAAATTAAATTTACAGTTAATTTTATGAACGTTTTAAAAATTTCAGTTTTCAAAATTTTTTTTTTTTAAGAACAAAAAACTTTATTTAAAAAAAGAATAATTGCAAAAATGTATATTTTGCGAACTTTCGGTTTCGAAAAATAATTTTCTGCTAACAAAAAAAAAAAATAATAATACAAGACCTTTTATGAATTTTTAACTATTTTCAATGTTTCGGTTTCGAAAAACAATTTTATCGGAACTTCAATTCTAAAAAACTTACGAAAAAAAATTTTTAAATTTTGAAAATTAAATATCTCCTAAACGCACAAATATTTGCAAATATTTTTATAATACTCAACACTTTCCAAAAGTGTAGAATTTATCTACAGTTAAATATTAAACCATTTTAAAATTTCTATTTCAAAAAATCGATTTAATAATAAAAAAAACAATTTTAGAAAATGTTATGAATGGTATTTAAACAGCTGTAAAAATTTCAAGATTCGATTTGATTTTTGTACTAACAAACAGTTTTTTTTTTTCGAAAATGATAACTTAATAATGCTTGAAGAATTTTTTAAATTTGATTTTCGAAAAAACGCCAAAAATTAAACCTAAAATTAAATAAATCTAGCACATAAAATTAAAAGAATATTTGTAAATACTTCATACATAATTTTGTATTTGGTTTGCTTTTATTAAATTTAATTATGTCTTCAATTTTAGATTCAATATTTTTTGGTTAATGTTTTAATTATCTTTTGTGTATGATTCAATTTATAAAACATTCATTTATTTTGCTAACTGTTTGGTATCCTATGATTTGTTTCCTTTGAAGACTAAAACACCTCGTTGCGAGCCGCCATATATCTCTATTAATCTCTTAGAACCCTTCTGAATACTTCCTCAAAAATATTTTTGGCTTAAGACTTAAGATTAGATATTTTATTTTTCCATGACTGCATTTATATTTCACATACCCAATCCCTAATCGACTACTTAAAATATTTTCCAGTTTTTTGCAGCCAAATTGTAATATCAATAAGTATATTACCCTGAAATATGTCTGCAATTAAAATATGCGCCAAAATGTAGGCAATAAAAATCGGCGCCATAATGTAGGCAACGTTTTTTTGCTAAAATTAATATGTAGCTTCGCATTCCGACTCCTCACAGCTAGCCGACAAATTCCAATCTTAATTTTAATTTCGATTCCAATGCAACGTGCTTTTCAATTGCCCTTTTCGCTTTCCATAACAAACTCAAATTGTGCCTCAAAATGCCTGCCCGCTCAAAAATCACCGTTTAACAATGTTTGTCCGCACCTACACATACGTAATGCCCGTGCACTAAAAAAAAAAAAAAATGAACCTTACAGTTCCAAAAAAAAAAAAAATAAATAAATAAAAATTAAAATTAAATGATATTAACACTGAAATGTTGTTAAACTTACAAATCAATCATTTTTTTACGTGTCCTAGTCTCTGCAAAGGTGGCTTAGGTCATTCACATTGTAGAAAAATCAAAAAAATATTTGTTTCTTTTTTCAATTCTTTTGTTTATTATATTCTTTTCTTATTTTAGTTTCTTATTCGGCCTCCGCGGATGCAGTATATGGAAATAATACTGCAACATTAAGAAATTCGGAAAACGAAGGTAAATTTGTTTTCTCCTATAGAGTGAAATGGATGTTGATTTGAAGTGAATATAATTTGGCTGCTAAAAGTAAAATAAAGAATTTAGGTTTGCATAAAATTGTAAAAAATCAAAAAATTGCCAAAAGGCTTTTACTCAAATTTAATTTAATTTTAAAAATGTGTTAAATGTTCACATTTTTAGTTTTGATTTCTCTTTTCTATTCTGATTTGGTTTCTATTAAATGCTTAATATTTGGTTTTTTTTTTTTGTAAAAATTAATTTTATATTCCCCTACGCACATATCCCGCTTTTAGATAATAGTTAACCACTTGCAAATGCATATACATATAGTATATATATATAAATATTCCTTCATTAATGCTTTTTTATGTTCACCACCAGCAGCGAAGTTTTAATTTAATTTAATTTTTTTTTTTATTTCCCATTTTTTTCACTTTTCCAATTTTTGTGCATTGCGTAGCATTTGTTGTTCATAAATCACGTGGCGTCACAACCCTATCGTCGTTGCACTCACAACAACACAGTCAACAACAACAACAACAGCAACAGGAGCCATTGGTTCCAGCACGTTTGCGACAATCGAAAGAAAAGTCAAATATCGAGACAAAGGCTGATGAAAGAGGTTTGTACGAAAAGCATTAACATAACGGTACTTCTATGTACAATTGGATAGTAACATACATACATGCATGTTTGGACATGTTTGTATGCTTGTGGGCTACTAAAAGCTGGCTTCGAAAAAAAATCCTTCTACAGCTTTTTAAGCTAGGCTTTCATAGAAAATGCTTCTTTCTAAATCGCTTTATTTTCATTGATTTTTAAAGATGATTTTCGATTAAAACATCCTTATTTTTTCTTCTTATACTCTTTTTAAAATATCTTCCTAATTATTAAAAAATAATAATAAAACATTAAAATTGGATTTTTTTATTTCTTATTTTAAATTTAATAAAGTTTTTGTATGACATATATATTTTTTCTGGCATCTATATGGTGTTTCGAAATTTGCAGCATACCTGTAGGCGCATTTAGAAATGCAATAGTTTAAATATTCTTAAAATCTAACAAATAAAATAAATAAACACGTATTTTTCCTTAAATATTTTTTTTTGATAAGCTTTGATTTTTGTACCAAAAGAAAAGAGAAAAATAACTAAATATAAAAAATTGGCATTTAAACTATTCGAAATTATTTAAACCATATCGAAATTATTTAAAAAAAATGAAATCAATTTTAAAAAATTAAAAAAAAATGAGAGGTTTAAGAATGTGTTTATTTATATAAAAAAAATATTTTAAGTCTTTGAAGAATTTGAGAACACTTTTCAAAAATAGATACAAGGAATCCTTTATTACTATAAATGTAAAATTTTTAGTTTGTTTAATCTTTTTTCATGTTGCTAATGCTTTTAAATAAAAAAAAATTTGGTAAAATAGCAAAAAAAATTAAATTTTATGAAAGTCTAGCTTAAATGTATATTTTAAATTTTAATGCAATGTTTTAATGCGTATGTATGTGCGAGTTTTCATTTTTCTTCAAACTAAAATTGCTTTTGCTGAAATTTTCACATCGTTTTTTCACAACTCTACTTGCTTTAGCTGAGATTTTCTCTTAAATACTTGACCTTTTGCTTATGTATTAACTTGTTTAATAAATTAACAACGCTTTTTAATTAGCTTTTACTATTTACATAACTTATATAAATTTTTCTCAACTTCTTAATACCTAATGTATTACAAAAAAAAAATTAAAAAATAATATATTTATTAATCTTCAGACTTTTCAACACTTAAATGCTTCTTAATTTTTTTTTTAACAATTTTCAATATAAATTAATCATAAATTTACTCGTACAATTATATACATGTAAAATTTGAACCAACACACTTAGTACATGCATACATACATATGTATTATGTACATAGTAAGCGTATCCAAATATTATAAAATCAAACTCATTCCAAAAACAATTAGGTGATTACGTACCGGCGGGCAGACCAAGCAATTGGGAGCACAATCGACGTCCCAGTTATGCAGGTAAATTTGCACAAAAACCAAAAAACAAACACAAAAAAGTACAAATAAAATACAGTTGTTTGAATGCATACTTTATGTTCTTTGAAGACCAAGAAAGTGGTACATTTTTTTAATTGAGTTGAATTGAAATTAGTGACATTTGAGTTAAAATCATCATTACAAAAGAAATGAATAAACAAAAAAGTTAAAATAAATAAAAAATGTAATTTTTAATTATATATAAATAAAAAAAAAATAAAAACTAAAAAAAATTATTAAATAAAAACTAAAAATATTTAGCAATAAATACAAAAATTAACAAAAAAGTTTAAAATTTATAACAAATTAAACTTTAAAATAATGTAAGGAAGAAAAGGTATATAAAATATATGAATAGAAAAAATTATTTAAGAAAATTAAAATTATAAAACAATATAAAAGAAAACATATTTTAAAACATATGTACATGCAGAGGAAAAAATATATATTAAAATTTAAAAAAAATATAAAACATATAAGAAACAAAAAAAAATATTGAAAATATAAGAAACTAAAAAATATAAGAAAATATAGAAAATAAAAAATTAAAAATATGAAGAGTTAAAAATATAAAATATTAAAAATAAACGTAAAAAGTATTAAAATAAAATTAAAAAATATTAAAAATAAAAGTAAAAAATATAAAATATAAATAAACAAAAATTATAAAAAATAAAAACTATAAATAAAATATAAAAAAATACACTAAAAATATATATATGAATATACAAAAAAGAAAATCAAAAACATGTAGAAATTTAAAAAAATATAAGAAAATAAAAAATATAAAAAAATAAAAAATATAAAAAAAAAAAAAATTTAAAAAAATAAAAAATATAAAAAAATAAAAAATATAAAAAAATAAAAAATATAAAAAAATATAAAAATATAAAAAAATATAAAAAATAAAAAAATATAAAAAATAAAAAAAAAAATATAAAAATATAAAAATATAAAAATATAAAAATATAAAAAAAATAAAAAATATAAAAAATATCAAAAATATAAAAAAATAAAAAATATAAAAAAATAAAAAATATAAAAAATATAAAAAATATAAAATATATAAAAAAATAAAAAATATCAAAAATATAAAAAAATAAAAAATATACAAAAATATATAAAAGCATACAAAAAAAATATATATATATAAAATATAAGAAATATAAAATGTATAAAGAATGTAAAATATATAAAGAATATAAAATATATAAAAACCAAAAAATATATAAATATATGCAAAAAATATAAAGATATCCAAAAAAATAAAAAGTACAAAAGAAAGTACAAAAAAAATATATAAAAATATAATAAATATAAAATATATAAAACAAATAAATTATATATAAAATTATTTAAATATATATAAATAATACAAAAAATATAATAATATAAAAAATATATAAAAATATCAAATATATAAAAATATTAAAAATAAAAAATATATTAAAAATATAAATATATAAAAAAATATATATAAAAGAAAATGTAAAAATATAAAAGAAAAACAAAAAAATGTAACAATATAAAAAATATAAGAAATATAAAAAATTAAAAATATATAAAATATACAAAAAAAAAAATTAAAAAAATTTAAAAATATATAAAAAATTAAAAATATACAAAAAAATATATAAAAGAAAATATAGAAAAATATAAAAGAAAAAAAATATAACAATATAAAAAGTATAAAAAATTAAAAATATACAAAAAAATTAAGAAAATTTAAAAATATACAAAAAAATTTAAAAATATACAAAATAATTAAAAAAATTTAAAAATAAATAAAAGAAAATATAGAAAAATATAAAAGAAAATATAAAAAATTATATAAAAGCATACTAAAAAAATACAGAAATATAATAAATATAAAATATATAAAAATATAAAAAATTAAAAATATATAAAAATATACAAAAAAAAACATGTATAAATATAAAAAAATATCAAAATATCAAAATGCAAAATATATAAAAATTAAAATATATAAAACTTTTTTGTTTACAAATATAAAAATATACACAAAAAATAATAAACAAAATAAAAATAATAAATTTAGAAAATAAATAGAATATTAACAAAAAAATATATTTTTAAAATAAAAATCTAAATTAAAAAGCTAAAAATTTAAGAAAAGAAACATGAAAAATAATAGTAAATAGTAAGAAAATTAAATAGAAAAACGAAAAATAGATCAAACTAATTCTTCAAATTAAATGAATTACCTTTTTTTTTATTGATTTTCCGATCATTTTGCGAGTTACCACTTTTTTGGTATTTTATATGTACTTTTAATTGAATTACCTTTAAAAAAAATTTGACCATCACAATTTATTCCACATTTTTATACCTACCGTTGTTAGTTGCACTTTTTTCACTTTTCTAATGCATGTTTTTTACTTATATTATATTTTTTAGTTACTGCAAAACGCTATCATTATTTTTACGCATGTTTCACATACTTTGTAGTCACGCACTAATATTTTTAGTTTTTTTTTTCTTCTTTTTATTGATATTATTTATAATTTCATATATGTACTATATATTGTAGAAATTAAACTTTTTTCTTGCTCATATTTTATGTACATTTTCAGGACGACGTTCACGCCGTAACTCATCCAGCGAAGACTCACAATTGACAATTGAGAATTTCGGTGGCTCTCAAGATCAGTTGAATGCAGTTGGGCGTTTTGAGCGTGAACGTGATCGGGAGCGTGATCGCGAACGAAAGCTCTCCAATGTCAGCGTGGGTAAGTGTACCATGGAGGAGGAAATACTGACTGTAAGTGGCAATATTAAAGGTTATACTAATTTTTCCCTTTATACACTTAGAACCCGCTGTCGCCGTACGCTCGTCCATTGCTGACGCACGTGGCACGCTGCAGCTTGGTTATGATACCGATTCCGGTTCGGAAAAGCAGGATCGTGAAACCGAGAAATATTTAATGAAACGGCATGCAAGGTGAGAAAATTAATTTTGGTATTTCGTGAAATATATTTTTCAACTATTCTTTTACACAGCACCGATAATGTCAATATGCATGCCTCTAATACTCAACTAAATAGCATTATGAGTACTGTTAGCAGTCCCATGCCTACCACACGTAGACAACATCCCATGGAAAAAGACAATCTGGATGAACAATATGCGGAACGTAAAGATAGTAGCACAAATGATTATGAGCAAACGTTGACCAGACGTTCAACGCAAAGTTCTGGTTCGAGTAAAGTGGAGGCTTGGAATAATAGTAAAATGGGTGAGTAATGCTAAAGTGTAGGCTAAATAAACAAACTAAAAACCTTTCACCACATTTTCAACGCAAGATCCCTATGACGATGATATACGTACGCTAGAAAATGCTTCCAAATTGTCCAATATACGCATGAAACTCGAGGAGAAACGCTTACGCATCGAACAGGATAAGCGACGTATTGAAATGGCATTGTTGCGTCATCAGGAGAAGGTAACCTACCTACCTATCTTTCTATATTTCTATATAACATAATATACTCTCTTACTAACATTAACACTCCTAACTCATTTACACTTACAAATAACTTTTAAAGCTCACACGCGAGGATATGGATACCTCATCGGAGGTTTTGAAATGGGAGACATTAAGTAACGACTCTAATCGTACGCCAGATCTTGATCCACTCGACTTGGATAAGTATCAGGTAGCGCTTAAATTAAATTTTGGTCATATTAACTTTGCCTATGTACTCGTATGTATGTATATATCGTAATTATAATTGCAAACTAATCTTCATTCTTTAATGTATGTATGTATTAACACATGTTTTATTGTTGTACTTTTCTTAACAAAAAAACAATCAAAAAAAAAAACAAAAACAAAAATCTGCAGCAAAGTCTGGCTATTATGAATATGAATTTACAGGATATTCAACAGGATATACAAAAGCTAACAGTGCAACAAAATCAAATACAAGCACAACAATTGCAAGCGCAACAACTGATGCACGCACAGCATATGGCGAACATGTTGAATCAGGTAGTTAACAACAAAAATAGAAGCAGTTAAACAACGATAAGAATTAAAGAAATAAAAAGTAAAATGTTATGGAGCACTTGGGGTTAAAGAATACCAGCTGGCGAAAGCTAGCGTCGAAACAATCGTGGGAAATTACTAAAATTTGCAAGTTCATTTTCCTCGGGTAAATTTTAAAATTTCTTTGAGTAATAGTTCAGCCAGCCAACGACCTATCCATTCAGCTGATACGACCCTTCTCAAGAGTGTGCCATGTGCATGAAAAGTTATCATTGCTTAAGGCACAACACACTGACGGTCGTAATACGAGCGCCAGAGATTGAATATTTTCCGTAAAACAGACTAAAATAATTTTTCACTATTGCAAAAGGTTTATAATGAATTCTTAAGGCACTGACAGCTAGCAAACCAACCTGTTCGTTAATGGTTCAAGCAGTCAGTCATAGCAATATACTGGAGCTACCGTAAATTTTGACCGATCAAGGACTGCCACTCCCTCAACATTCCTTAAAAATCAAGTTGAGGAAATATTTTCTAAAGACAACAGCAAGAACAAATATTTTGACTTTTGTCATGTATTTTTTCTTACGGAAAGTAGATATGGATGTGTTGTGCGCCAGTTGGCTGGTTGAACTATAACCGCTTAGGGAGACTTAACTCTTCTGAAATATATGTTCCACCTTAATAATCAAACGAAGACCCTTAAATTTGTGTGATCTACTTTTAAGCGTTTAACAGTCGGAAATATTATTCAGCTTATGTGAGTGCCTCATGGATGCCACTTTCAGCTTAGAATATTTGTTCTAACTTTATTCTGTAAATCGAAAATTGTTATCAAAAGTTTTATTTGTATCCTTAATCTTATATATTTAACTTTTAACTGCGCGCAAAAACAATAAATGAAAATGCGCATGCGTAAATAACCTTGCAACAAAAACCCCTAACGCTTAAGTGCAATAAGAAGAATTTATTCAATTACAAAAATATGCAAAATCGCACATTTTTATGTGGAAAAGTGTAAATACTGCCCAATGCTTTTAACCTCAATGTGCGCATTGACAAACCATTGTTTTATTTATTTATTTTATCTTATTTTTTTGAACTTTTCTACTTGTTTCGAACTAACAATGTTCTAATACACTAAATTAACATCATTTCACCATGCTCTCACCATATCCCATAGCCACCGTACGGCTCACAACAACATCTCAGCGATAATTTCAATCAAATGCAAATGCAACAACAGCAACACAATTTCGGTTCAACACCACATCTAGCACATTCCTCATTCAATCCACATGCCAATCTCTACAACTCACGTCCACCCAGTCGTGATCCCTATCAACAGCAGCAACACCATCAGCAGCAGCAACAACAACAACAACAGATGCCATCAATGCCAATGCAATACATAAACGAACATGGCCAATATGTGCCTCAACCGCAGCAGCCACAACAAATGCCGCCTATGATGCAGGCAAATTATATGCAACCACAAAAGATGTATAACGATAATATGGTTCCTTACAACAACCACGTGTACGGTGGCCCACCGCCACCACAACAACCACAATATGCGCCACATCATAATCAAACACCTCCCCAATATATGAATCGGGCCAGCATGTATGATGATTATGGCCGTGATCCGAGCTCACCACAACCGAATCCAATGTATCCACATGAAATGTCACCTCAACCAACGCAACCACAACGACGTACTTGGAACCAATCAGTATATGAACAACAGCAACAACAACAGTACCAACACCAGCAGCAGCAGCAACAGCAGCAGCAGCAAGCACCATTGGTGGATGTGAATGCATGGCAACAGCAGAAGCAGCGTTCTTGCCTACCCATGGAGGGCAACTATACTTGGAAGAAGCCCAATCAAATGAGTGGTAATAGTGGACGTGAAGGTTTTGTGTTGCATCAAAATGATGGTGGTGGCGAGTATCAGCATCTCTTCCGTTCCTCACCGCAACATATGCAACATAACAGTGACAGCGGTGGCGGTCTCCAGCGTCAGCATTCGGTAACCAATATGCCAATGACAACGAAACAAGCCTCAAATACAGCGGCGACGTCTTCCTCAAATTCTTCGGGCGGCCAACAGATGAGCGATGATATGATGGCGCCACAGAGTATATGCTTTATTGGCGATGAAGATGATGTTGAGGAGTTGGAGCGTAATATAATTGAATCAATGCAGAATACGCGCATAGCGGACTATGCGCATCAGCAACAACAACTCCAAATGCAGCACCAACAGCAGCAGCAGCAGCATTATCAGCAACACGGCAGTGACGGCAGCTACGATGGTGGCAATGAGTTGTTGTCGCAAAAGTTGCACATAACGAGCGGTAATCTCACCTATCGCATACCGTCACCGTCCAGACCCGCTGTAAATGCCAATAGTTTTCAGGTAAGCTCATGCGTGTGCACATAATTTTGACGGGATGTTGTAATTCATATATTTTTTTTTTTTAACTTATTTTTCCACCCCCAGGATCCGCGTGATGTGAAAACTGAAAAGGGCTTCTACATTTCCTTCGATGACAACCAACCTAAGCGTCCGAAACCGCCGTTGCGTGCTAAACGTTCACCGAAAAAGGAGCGCAGCATGGATAGCACCGATCATCAGGTGGTCACCAAAATGGAGCCACTCAATCGTTCGCATAGCATTAGCGAAGACAACAATCCGACATACAATGGTGGCACGCTGTCGCATGGTCGGCAATTTGGTGGCGGCAATTTAGATGCGCTTAAGAATGGCAATAAAATGGGTGAATTTAATACGGCTACATATAACAAGTATACGGACGCGCCAATACATTTACGCCACGACGACCTCAATAGCCAAAAAACAACGCCTATAGCGCAACCACGTTCGCCTATACATCAAATCCATTCAGCGGCGTCGGCCGCGGCAGCAGCAGCGCTTTCGTCCTCACCGCCCATAACGCGTAGTCAACAAACAGCGAACGCCGTCGCAGCTGCTGGTGGTGGTGGTAGTAGTCAAGCGAAGGCTTTGGTCATTGGCACCGACGTCAGTAACTTAGATCGGGTAAGACGGAAATTAGGCATTGAAGGTAAAAAAAAATTATGTGTTCTCATTTTACAAACAGGAATCCATTGACGAGATGGAGCGTCGCAAGGAGAAAATTATGCTACAATCTTTGCAGCGCCGTCAACAGCAGGAAGAAGCGAAGGCGCGCAAAGAAATTGAAGCGCAGCGCAAACGTGAAATGGAGCGTGAGAAGGAAGAGGAGAAAGCGCGCAAGAAAGAGGAACAAATGGCGCGGCGAGCTGCAATATTAGAGCAACACCGGCTCAAGAAGGCCATCGAAGAGGCCGAACGAGAGGTAATGGCAAATTTCGAACATAATTTATATAATAATTTAATTTTTTTTTTTCTGTACTAACAAATTTCAGGGTAAAACACTCGATCGCGCCGAGCTAAATATGAAGCAAACAACGCAAAATACAACAACGCCACGTCTGCGTCAAACGCGCCTCACGCGTCCACGTCCAAAAACCATACATGTGGATGATGGTTCCGTGGATTTGAGTGAAGCATCGAGTATTTCTAGTCGTAGTAAAAAAGGTTCTAGTACCAATCTTACAGGTAAGTGAGTATATGCGTTTGGGAAACTTGAGCAGCTTGAAAAAAATTACCGTTTTTTATTAGCGAGTTTGCAGTTTCTTTTAACTTTTTTCCTTGTAAATTTTGCTTGCCACGTTTTGTAAATGTACTTATATGTATTGCTCGATACATTTTTGAAAAAAAAAAAATTCTTAAAAACTTACATGCCTTACATTCTACTTGCTGCCTGTTTTTTGGCTTTACTTCCGTGTTTTGGCTACTTTTTTGGACTTAATAAACATAATTCTATACAAAAGCTGCTTTACAATTATATATTTTATGCGCGCACACGCACAGACACACAAAAATGCACACAGAAAGTGACACACAAATTTATTTATAGCACGGTTTTTTTTTTAAACGCTCTTTGTGTTTGAGTAATCACTCAAATCATTTTGTAGAATTACTTAATGTAAGCGGTGAGAGTAATGATTGTGTTTTTCTTTCCACAATTTGTTGGCAGGATACTGTCTTTCATATGTTTTGTCAGAAAATGTGCGCGAAATACACTGAGCACTTTTCGTTGTATGTTTCCACATTTAAAAAAAAAAAAAAAAAAAAAAAAAAAAAAAAAAAAATGCACTTATTTTTCTTAGTTGGTATGCATTTTGTCGGTTTTGGTTTTGACCTACACTTGGTTTCTATACATTTTTGTTTACTTTTTGTGGGCTTTCGAAAAAAAATTAAACTTTCGATATATATTTTTTAATATAATTTTTTTATTTACTCAAATTCGTACATTTTTGTGTTTATACAAAGTTAATTTGTGCTAATTTTCCTTAAAAAAAATATCTTTGGATTGTGCTTTTGGTGCAATTTTTTGGTTTTTTTTTTTCTTCATTTTTGTGCGTCCGTCAACAGAATGCGAGGCATGCAAGCAATCAATGTCAATTATTGCTTTTAATATTGTTTCGCTCAAAAGAAAATGTTTCTTTTATTTTTTTTGTTATTTCTTGTTTATTTACCGTTTATATTTTCTATATATTTATTTTTCGTTGTGTGTTAATATGATGTGTATGCCCTTTGGCTTCTATTGTTGTTCGCTGCAAACAAACTCTATAGCCTATGGTACGTTGAGCAATTCCAACACGTTGAGACGAGATTTTTATAGAGGCTCGCACGATTCTCTAACAGTTAAAGGTAAATAATCTACTAAAATATACAAAAAAAAAATAAATACTTAGTAAAAAAATTAGAAAAAGGGGGAGAATACAAATTATATTGAAAAAAAAAAATTGAAAAAATTTAGATACTAGATTTTTACAAAATTTTTAATTCTTAATATTTATAAAAAATAACTAATTTGGGAAATATAGAAAAATTATAGAAAATTATGAATGAATTTTAAATTAAAAAAAAAAATAGAATAAATGTCCAACTGAAGGATGAAATAATTATTGCTAAAGATAAAATTAAAAAAAAAAAAAATACCAGTCAGCAGTTTTAAAAAATTGATACAATTAAAAAAAAACTTAAAAAAATTTAAAGTAGATATTTATTATGCAATATCAAAAATATTTAGAAATACATTAAAAAAAACTAAAAAAAATTAGGCAAATAGTACACAAACTACAGGCAATTACTTAAAAAAAAAAAGAATAAGCAAATATTCAAATAAAACTTTTAGGAAAAATTAGAGAAGCTTTGAAATAGAAAAACTTTTTTTACACAAATTAAAAGTAAAATATAAAGAAAAAATAGAGAATACAAATTTTAGTCATATACCATAACTTTTAAATTGCAAAAAAAAATATAAAAAAAATTGGGAATAAAAAAGTAAATTTTAAAAGGAATTATTTCTTGAAATATACGAAAAATTAGCGCTAATTAGAAATAAATTTATAGTAAAAGCAGAAAAACGAGTTTTTCAAAAGTAAGGTTATTGAAGGTTCAGGAGCAATGGAATAGTTACCGTTCAAATACTAAAACTACTGAAAATAAATATTGAAAAAGAAAAATTAAAGAAATAAAAATTGAAAAAAAAATTTAAAAGTTTTTTTTTTTAAAATAGAAAAAAAATTTAAAAGTTTTTTTTTTTTAAAATAGAAAAAAAATAAACAGAAAAAAAATAAATGAAAAAAAAATAAATGAAAAAAATTTAAAAACTATTGAAAAAACTCCAAAAACATTTTTTTTTTTTTTAAGTTTTAATGGAACTGTTCAGACCATAGTGAAATAGTGAAACTGTTGTAATTTTTTCACTATTTCCAAAAAATATTTGATACTGTTGTTTTAATTTTATCACTATTTTCAAAAAATGTATGGTGTGAGACAGTTCCATGAAAACTTTAAACCAATTCAACAGAACAACCTAATTTTTTTATATTTTTTAACTACTGAAACTTTTTTACAATATTAAAAAATTAAAATTTTATCAAAAAAGTCAAAATTAAAAAAATTTATAAAAAAACACTTTAATTATTTAAAAAATTACTAAAACGTGCATACGCATACAAATTTACTTATTTTTACAACACATTTTCATAGCAAAATGCCACATTCTAACTACGCATGCGCAAAATGCGTGTTCATATTTATCATATAAAAGCTCACTAAAACATTTTCAGAGCATTTGCAGCAAATATATGTCATAAAAAACACATTTTTTTATAATTAAATTAACAATATAACAACAATTGCATACTTAATAGAAATCAAAATAATTTAATAGTTGAAAAAAAAATAATAATAATTTAATGCTTAAAAAATTATAGCAATTTAATTGTTAAAAAATAATACAAACTAGAAAAAATTCAATAACTCAAAAAAATTAACCAAAAAGCATTTTTTCGAATAAAAAGAATTTTAAAATCTAAGATTCACTTTAAACACATTTTTATTACATTTTTCATTACATTTTTTTTAATTTGTTAATTATTTTATTTTTTATCGAAATCAAAGCAGCTTTTAATTATCTTGAAAACTCAAAAATCGTTGCATTTACAGTTTATTGTAGTTCATAGAGATTTCAATTTTATAAGAAATAATTAAAAAAAATTAAATAAAAGTAATTATGCTTGAAACTTTGTTTTTTCTGCTGTTTAATGATTTTTATGACATTTACTCTTTATTATTAATTTTTTTTTTGCTAATTAAAAAAATAAAGTTGCTTGCAAAAATTTAACTGTTAATTACAAATTAGAATAACTATGTTATTATGTGCGCCTAAAAGTAGACTATAAATTTAATCTGCATGGAAAAGGAACTAAATTTTGGCTGTAGATAAATAAAACAATTTTTTAATCAAATAATTTTTAATTTTAAATACAGATTTTTTTTAATAAAATATATATGTTAATAGAATTTATATATTTTTCGTTAATAAAAAGTATTCATTTTAGACCAGATGTAAAGCTATTTCTATTTTCATTAATATAACAAGAATTATTAGTTTTGTTGTTGTTGTTGTAACCGCTAAACAACAGTGGGAGTGTCAGTCCTTGGCCGGATAAAAATCCGGGTGGTTCCGGTATGGCAGGAACTATTAGATTTTAGTCGCCTCTTACGACAGGCATGCCTTACTGCGGATAAATTCAAGAACCCCTAACCCGCAGAGTATATAACAAAAATTATTCATTAGTATTATTGTTGTAGTCTACTTTTAGGCGCATTTACAAATTTTACCGCAAAGTATTTTTTTTTTAAATTTCTATAAAGAAACGAAATAAATAAAAATGTCAAAATAAATAATTTAAATTTTTTAAAAAATAATAATTAATTAATCAGTTAAATAATTAATGATATAATTTTTAATCAACTAAATATTTGATAAATTATTTTTTTAATCAAATAAATAATTAATTTATATGTATTTTTTTTTTCATTAAATAGTATATTAATATGTTTTTGGCATGTTCAGGTTATATTTAAATATGCGTACAAGTAATTAATTTTACAATAACCGTTATATCATAACATTACATTTGCAACTTTTTATCACATTTGCATATAGTTTTTAAAAACCACATCTATATATATACTTTACTTATAACAAATATGCTATTTTTCTAAACAGAATCACCTGATGAATACCCAAGCACAAGTTCAACACCGATTGGGCGCAGGGGATCATATAAAGCATCAAGAGGTTGGTGATGGGTATTAATATAAGTTAATATAAGTTATATTTTTAAAATTACTAAGCACTTAACGTTTTGGTTAGGATATACATACATATATGAAATATTATTACACTATATACATACACACATATATATACAAAAACACGCTATAAAAAAACGTGCGCATATGCATGTGAATAGTGATGGGTGATAAAGTTAAAAAGAAAACTGTTTACTACACACAACTTTGTGATGGTTAAATGTACATACGTATATATATTTACACATTAACCCCGTTTATTTAGTATGTTATGCAAGCCTATTTACCGCCACATACATTTCCATATATCAAAGAAATGGTGTTGGTATTTGGTTTAGGTCTACAAATAAATATTTTTAAATCTAATTTTTATTATTTTTAAAATCTATACTATGTTAAGACAATGCTATATATTTTTATTTAATTTTTTTTTTACTATCTCTCATACATATTATTACGAAAAAAACAATCTAAACTCAATACAACATTTTTTACAAATTACTTAATGCGTATAAAAACCAAAACAAACGCCTGTATATTTTATGGGCCTTTTTCCAGAACCAACCGTCGATCGAGGCCGCTCACGTATATCTGTAGCTAAAGGAAGTAGCCTTAATTTCCGTGGTCGCAAGTCGAATTCGCTAATGAATCTGTGTGGTAAGAACCGAAGACCAATTACAAACAAAAACAAATTTAAAAAAAAATATTTTTTTTTTTATTAAAAATGGCTTCCAAAAAAAAATTATTAGTATTTCTTAAAAAAGCTTGAAATGAAGCGTAGCCTTAAAAAATATATATATATCGCCATAAAACAAAAAATAAAAAAGAATTGCTTAATCTCTGGTGGTTGGTGGTTTGGTTTTTGTTTTGGTTTTGGTTTTGGTTTCCGATTTGTCTTAAAAACAACTACTTTTTACTTCAACAATATTCTCAATGTATGATAGCTTCGCATCATACCTCGTTATTTATAACCGTTATACTCGACATGTGTATTCACTTACTTATCTACTTACTTACTTAATGTTTGTTTGTGTTGGCTTTAATATTGTTTTATTTATATTTTTCACATTGTACTTGTGTGGTGTTTTCTCTTATAGATTTTGTATTATACATACATATACATAGTTACATTTATTTTTGTATATTTATTAGGGTGTGCGTATATTTCGAAGAAAACTGATTTTTTTTTGTTGTAGGATTTTGTGAAGTTTTGTCGTTAATGTTTTTTTGTATTAAATTTTTTTTATTTTAGTTTTCGAAAGAATTTTGTTCCCTACATCGTTTTGAACTCAAACTTTTTTCATTTGTAAAATTCAACGTAGTTTTTGCCATAGATCAGCGTCAAAAATCATTTTCATAGTAAAATGTAAAAAAATTTCAGCCTAGTCATAAATTAAAAAAAATGTGAAAAATTCATATTTAATTCTAAAATATATTTATATGAACAGAAATTAAAAAAAATTTAATAGTCTAATTTTTGCATAAGAGACTTTATTTATTTAAAGTATTCACATTTCTTAATTTTCATTTTTCAAAGTCATACTAAAAAAAAAAACAAAAAAAAATTTTAAAAAAAGTTAAAAACTTAGAAATCTAATAAAAAAAAATGTCAAATAATATGCTGTTATAAAAAAAATTAAAATTTTAAAATCCATTAAAATAAAAAAATTAGCGAAATTATTCGAACTATATTAAAAAATAAATTCAAAATCTACGAATTTATCAAAAAAAAGAAGAAAAGAATTCAAATTCTATTAAAAAATTAACAACAAAAATGGAAATATATTAAAAAACATCGAACTCGTATTAATTTATAAAAATAAATTATTTCAAAATCATGCTTAAAATTTTAAAAAATATATGGTTTTAATAGCATTAAAAATATTTGGACGAACCTTTCTTTCAAACAAAAAGCTAAAGTAAACTCACAGCAAAAACTATTGTTCTGAAGTTGTTAACTTTTTTCTTTTATAATCAAAAGCTAAACAATTCTTACAAGTATAAAAATAACCACGCCCACTTCTAACAAGACTTCAAAATTCAATTTTCAATCGATTTAATTTTTTTTTTACTTTTTTTTTTTTTGATGAGCAAAGCAATGAAAAAACTGAAAATGCGAAAAATCGTTGCATACTTTGAGGCTGTTGAGCCCTTATTTCTTTCATAACTTCATTGTTAGAAGAATAGGTTCATAAAAGAAATTTTTAATACTTCTGTGCAAGGCTGAAGTCAGTTATTTATATTTAAATAAAATACAAAATCATTTTCTAGACTTTTAATAACTCAAAATTTGTTTGCCTACATTCAGGATGAACAGTGTAGACTCTTAGTTATGATTTAAAGAAATTTTGAAATAAAATTCTAGACTTTTAGTAACTCACAATTACTTTTAGGATGAGCTGACTTTCATTTTATTGATTTTTATTAACTTACAACTATGTTGCCAACCTTTAAGATAAATGGTATTCAAGTTTAGTTTAATTTGCAAATTTTTTAAATTTGAAAATCATTTCTAGGAACTTTGCAACTTTGTTGTCTTCATTTAGGATTAGCTATACAACTAAGAGTCTACATTGATTTTATTTAAAGAAATTTGAAGATTTTAAATTAATCGACTGAAGCTGATGAAGTTTACTTTGCAAAAATACGAATTTGATGCATACTTTTAGGATGTGTATATATTTTATTTGCCATTATATAGTTCTCTCATAATTTATCCAGCCATTTACTGCTGCTTTTTTGATTTAAAAACATTCCTAAATATTCGTGTTAAGGTTTTTTATGAAAAAATATCACTTCGAAATTTTTTTTTAATATTTTAACTAATTTTAAGTATTTATAACTTCATATATTCTAACAAGCCATTTATGTACAAACACATTTCGTACATTTTACAAACTCATATCTACTACTTACAAACATATAAACTCATATATAATATAGACAAATGTACATACATACATGTGAGTAAACCTTTAACTGTGTGTATAATTAAAAAAAATTAACATTTTTGAAAATATACTATAACTAAACTAAACTTAACTAATTGCACATATAAAACATAAAGAAATAACAACTTACATACATATGTACATATTTACATACAGAAATGCATAGAAAATCATCATAATTAAATTATTGAAATATTCAAAAACGCTAATTACAAAAAAAAAAAAAATTAATTGATTTATATAATTTTGCAATTTTACTAAAATGCTAAAAAAAAATACTATTTTAAAAATCTCAAATTTTAACTTAACCTAACAAAAACACATTTTTTCCATTATATTTGGCAAATCTTAAATTATGCACTTGCGTTGTTTTTTTTTCCATATCTCTTTTCCAAACTAACATCATACAAATTACGTACAAAACTAAAATGTGCTCGCTCGTACCATTGCACGCTGGCATTGAAACGGAATTGAAAAATCCAAAAAACCAAAAACAAAAAAAATTAAATTTTTGAAAACACAAAACTGCGCAACTTGAAAACTACAAACAAATTAAAACAAAAAAAAAAACGTAACTCAACCGTACTGTGTGATGAATGTTGTCTGCCTGGACTGCTCCTCGTCTAACAAACAACTGCTTGTCTGTCCAACCTGCCCGCTGCCTGTCGTACTGCAACAACATTTATGTCTTGTCTCGTCTTGTCTTGTTCTCTTGTTGGTTGCTTGTCGCCTGCTGTTCTTGCTGTTGTTGTTGTCGTTGATGTTGATGAATTTGATGTTTTTTTTATTCGTCACATTAACAAAACGCAACTTGGCCCAGATACAGATTCGGGATTGGGTCGTGCCACACCGCCACGCCGTGCTCCATCGCCGGGTATGGCCTCAGGTAGGCATATGCCATCACCATCGGGACCGGGCTCACTGCCACCAGGTTTGATATCGAAACGACGCGGCTTCGATGATGGATCGGGCCTACTTGCAGCCAATCTTGGCTCAATGGAATATTCGGGTTTGTACATTTTTCAAGCTACGCTTAATACAAAGTGAAAGAAATTATATATATAAAATATACATTCATACATAAATATATATGTATTTTTTTCTATGTATACACACATACATGCACGCCATCGCATACACCAACACACACACACACATTCGCTCGCTCGTTCGCTCGCATATTTAATATTCTCGTACAGTCAGTGCATTTAAATATTTTACGTACACACACACACAATCACATATGTACATAAATACCTACATATATTGTACATGAGTTTACACAAATTAAAAAAATTTAAATCTTATTAATTTCACGATTTTGGTTAGAAATATGAATATTTATATAAACTTTTTTTTTATAACCTTTTTATTTATAAAATTTTATTCCGTTTTTATATTATTTTTAAGCGCTTTAAAAATCGAAAAAATATTAATAAATGATTGGGCAGTTATTATAGTCTAGAATTTCACAAAAAAAAACATATGCTTCGGACCCTGAATTTTCATCATTTATATTAAAAAAATTTTCTCATTTTTTTTTTAAATTTTTTTTTTTTTTATTTCTTAAGAAATTTTAAAACGCACTTTATTGCAAATGTAGCCGAATATTTTTTTTCTTTTAAAAAAATATTTTTTATTAAAAAAATTATTTTCAGTAAAATAATTTGCATTTATGTTTAAACTTTATTCTTTTAAATCTTGATAATTTAACATTTAAAAAAAATAAAGAGAAAAATTTTAACTTCTAATGAAAACCTTAGTAAAAAATTAAATTTAAATTTTTTTTCAACTACATAAATTAAAAAAAGATATATTAATATATTTTATATAAATAATAAAATAAAATTATTGAGCAGGTAACCAAAAAATTGTGGTAACTCCTTATTTCGTGCTACAATAAATAAAATAATCAAAATTTAATATTAAAATAATCTTTTATTTAAAAAAAATTAACAGAATATTTTTATTAAAAATATGAATTTTATTGAAAAAATATTTATTAATTCTCATGTAATACCAAAAGAAAAAAATAAAACTAATTTACATAAAATTTAATATCTATTATTTAATAAAAGCCAAGAAAAAAATTTTTTTTTTTGAAAATTAAAATTAAAAAACATTTCTGGTATAAATTTCGTTGTTTGCATGTTCATGCTGCGTAACTGAAGGAACACATTGTAATAGGTTTTCATACATACATACCAACATCAATAATAATTTACGTACATACATACATATATTAGCATTTTTTGCGGCAAATTCATTTAAAATTCACATTTTCTCAAATTAAAGTTAAGTAATTTTGTACGCTAAAAAAAAACTTAGCATAAAATAACTTAATTATAAGCAAAAAATAATATTAATAAAAATATTAATGGGCGTGGTTATTGATATCTTAACACTATTTTATGTTTTTTTCCCCTTAATTTAATACTAAAAACTTGGCAAATATTTGCGATTAAAAAGAATCTCATATACAAACATTAGGGTTGCCCTTATTTACGAGAAATATTTATGTAAACAATTTTATTTTTATTATTTCATTTTTTCATGACAAATATTTATGAACATTTTATGTGTGTTTTTTTTTTGATTTTTTTTTATTTATTATTATTATTGTATATATAAATATTTTTTTTTTTTTTTTTAAGCTTGCTTGCTTGTTCTTATTCGCATGGATTTTTCATTTATTTTATTGCTTGTGTTAGCATACATTTAGGAATCAAACTTTTTTGTTTGAGAATCAGTATTTATTTTTTGCTTGAGCCCAAGTCGCACAGTTGTTTTTTTTTGCATCAATTTTAATTAAATATTTATGTGGTTTTATTATTTGTTAGGCACATAAAATTATGTGACATGATTTTAACAAAAACAGCTCCCTTCTTTGCTTTTAAAATTCTGTTACGTACTAATTCTGTAACATTTCAGCCTTACTTGAACAAATTTTTAACCGTTCACTATTTCCCCACTAGTTTTGTGCTTTTTTAATTCCATTTTTTTTTTGGTTTGAGGTTAGGTAAAAGTTTGTTTGCAATTTTAAATGTTAAAATTATGTAGAAACTACTTTTACGGATTGAAAATCTTATTTAAACAAATATCTAACCGCGGAGAGCTTTTGGTCCCTCAATTTGTGTTGCTTATAAATAATTTTCTTTGAGGTTAGGTTGATTTTTTTGTGAAATTTTATTTGTTAAAGTGTATAACGACTACTTTAGCGGCGTTTAAATCTTGTATCAAGAAAATTTGTAACACTAAAATATTATTTGTTATTTAAACTTAGTTTAATTGAACTAAGGTGGAATTTCGAAAAACATTTTAGATTAAGTTGAACTTCGAAAAACAATTGAATTGTTAAAATTACATTATGAACGGTTGCAATGTATTTTTAAAAAAAATTTTCTATGATTGTGTGCTGTTTTAATGAATTTTATTTGAGGTTAGGTTGAGTTTCAATAAAAATTTAAATTGTTAAAATTGTGTGTTTGAATCTTATTTAAAAAAAATCCAAGCACCATTTCTCTTTTTATTATTCTGCAGTCTTTTTTTTCTGCTCTGTTTTTTATTTTATTTTGAAGTTAGGTTAAATTTCGCTAAAAGCTTCAATTGCAGAAAAATGGTTTTGAACCACTTTTGCATTTCTACTTTATTTCAATAAATTTCCAACATTACAAGATATATACTTATATTTTATGCACTTTAAATTTTCTTTTTTTCAGTTTATTTTCCTTTTATTTGTGTTGTTTTATTATAAAAATTTTGAGGTTAAGTTGAGTTTTGAGTAAAATTTCCGTTGCTAAAATTCTGCTTTGGAACACATCTGCGGCGTTTCAACCTATTCCCAACAAATTTCTAACCAAACAATTTTTTTTCTTTTTTGTGACGTTCTTATCGAAGTTTTTTGAGGTTAAGTTGAATTTTCTGAAAATCTTCATATGATTTTTTAGCTATTTTTTTTTTGGCAGTGTAGGTATTTAGGGTCTGTGAAGGTAAATGAGTATTGTAACAGAGTTCTTGTTCTTTTTCTGGCGAGTTTTTTCTAATATATGTGCCTTAGAAGTGTAAAAATTTCGTTTCACACTACCAAAAGTGGAAATTTTTACGCAAAAATTTACTTAAAAATAAAATTTTCACTTTTCTCCATCGCACGGGTCTTTTATGAGTAAAATGTTACTTAGAACGATCTTATTGTCGGCAGAATTGTAACCTGAGTTCAGTGTACCAGCCTATTTTCTAAGTTAAAGATACCATACAGCTCTATTTTGGCTGAATTCCGGCTGCTTTTGTTCGACAATATAAAATTTAACAATTTTTTACCCTCAGTTTATGACTTTAAGCGTGACAAATTATAGACAGAAAAGTTATTGAATCAAAAAAAAATTAATAAAAAATAAACACCACTTTTAGTAGTTATTTTCAAGTATATTTAAGAAAAAAAAATAAATTTTTTCTTCTTAATTTTATTATTCTTTATTAATTACAGCTAGTGCTAAAGGTGTTTAAAAATCATAATTATTTTTTTTTCTGTATTACATAGCTTTAGATTATATGGTTATGTTTTATTTGATTTTTTAATATGTCATCCTTTTTATATATTTTTTTTTATAAATATTTTATGTTTTTTTTTAATTTTTGTAATTATTTTAATAATTAATCATACTATTATATTATAGTTTATGTATGTATGTACATTATATATATATATAATATTTAAAAAAATGCATTGTTAATTTTAAAAATATTTAGAGTTAAATATACCTGAATTTTAATAAAAAAGTATATTAATATTTTAGATTTTATTTTACATTTCTAAAAATTAAGTTTCAATAATTTTATAATTTTTTTAAAGTTAAACTAAAGATAATATTTCAATTATTTATTATTATTATTTCAATTATTTTATATTGTTTTCTATAATTTTTATTATTTTATTTTACTTATGTTTTTTGATTTTCGTCCTCAAAATTCAAATTCGTAATAGTGTTGCTACACCTGTACTGTACCTACTTATATATATATATACATAATAATTACTATTTTGACACATAATATGTTACATATAGTTAGTTTGTCGAAAACACCGTTATTGTTAAAATAATAATTTTTTTTTATATAATAATATTTTATCTCTCAATTTTTATTATTTTTTCTTTCACTAAATATCTCAATTTTTCTCTTTTACGCCTTTGCCAACTACCACATTCACCTGCCTACGAACAGGTCCAAAACTCTATAAACAACCAGCCGCCAAATCGAATCGTGGCATCATTTTGAATGCCGTCGAATATTGCGTTTTCCCCGGTGCGGTGAATCGTGAAGCCAAACAAAAAGTACTCGAGAAAATTGCACGTTCCGAAGCGAAACATTTCCTTGTGCTCTTCCGCGACGCCGGTTGCCAATTCCGTGCGCTGTACAGCTATGTGCCCGAAATGGATCAGGTGACAAAACTGTATGGCACTGGACCTAGTCAAGTGGATGAAGTCATGTTCGATAAGTTCTTCAAGTGAGTGGAATGAGAATTTTATTTCGGTTTTTGCTTCAATATTTTGAGTAATAATCTTTTTTTTTATAATTTCCATAGATACAACTCAGGCGGCAAATGTTTTTCACAAGTCCACACGAAACATCTAACAGTCACCATCGATGCATTTACAATACACAATTCGCTGTGGCAGGGCAAGAAGGTGCATTTGCCAAGTAAAAAGGATATGGCGTTGGTTATATAAAATGCGCATAGTGTATGCTAGCCAGCCAGCCAGACAGCTAGACGGTCGCACGCACGATAAACACACACACACACACATGCACACATGCGCATTTACGGAGGAAGGCAATGCTTGTGCTTGTCCGGCTGCGAGTGTGTGTGTATGTTTTTTTTTTTTTTTTTTTTTTGGAAAAAATGAAAAATGGCTAAAAGCGAGTTATGCATGGAAATTTGTCAACAACGCTAATGTGTAGCTGTAAACTGTTGGTTAGAAAGTTACATAACTACTTATAAAGTATATAAATTATATATAAATTATACATTTGATTGATGATGATGATGATGTTCATTCATTAATTAGCAATGCGAAAGGCAAAAGCAGAGAAATACGAACAAAAAACATAAAATTTATAAATAATTTAGCAAGTAAAAAAAAATGGAAAAAAGGCAAGAAAGAAATTAATAATATATACTAACTGCAAAAAACTTTAAGTTGTAAACACTTGCAGCGCAGTAAAGTAAGAGCGAAAGAGAGAGAGAGAGAGAGAGAAGAGTAAGCGTAAAAATGAGTGTTAAACGAGTTTAGCTTAGTGTGAAAGCCAAGTTTGTGTTAGAAAATGTAAGCTAAAGCTGGAAAAGCAAAGCTGATACACATACACACACACACACACTTACCCATCTACACATAGGATATTCATATATACATGCACATTTATGTATATAAGCGTATATCCATTAAAAGGAAAGCATAAATAATACAAACACACAAACAAATAAACAAAAATAATCAACAACAAAAAAAAAAAACATTATATAAATATAATTATTTAATTAATTCTCTTTTATAAGCTTGATAGTATATACTATATATAATATAAATACATATATGTAAAACACCTGTTGAACTTATTTAAAAATAATCACTATATATAATATGTGCTTACATGCATACATACATATTATATTATGTATTGTAACCGTAACCACGTAACTGAACTTAACTTAACTTAACTCCTCTTGTCAAAGTTATACTTGTATACCTTTTACTTTGCTCTTTATCTAAACCAAACACAAACACCCACACACACACAGATGTATACACATACTCATACTCGTCGTATATACTAATTACTTTTATGATTACTTTTAATTTCATCTTAAAAACAATAAAATAAATAAATAGTAAAAACCCCGTAATAAGCTAAAACAAAACACATACACGAGCAATGTACGAAAACTAATAGTATTCACTGTAAACTTACTTGAGTGAACTCTAGTAAACTATTATTTATGATATTTTTTTTTATTATAATTTTAAATTAACACCGTTTTATTTTAAACTCTTTTTTATGAAAACAAAAAAAAAATATAAAAATAATATTTGTATACTATATACATATATACATACATACATAATTATATAGAATGGAATTTTTTTAAACGATTTTTCATAGAAATAATTTTTGTAGTAACTATATACTATATTGAATGTGAAACAGCGCTTAATACACACACACACATATATATATTATATAAAAATATAAAATACACACATGCATACAAATGCATATATAATATATAAACTAAAAGAAGAAATATACATACATACATACATACATACATAATAAATGCAAAGTGATGGTATAATGAAAAGCATAACGAATAAAATATATATGAATACTTACATACATCCAAACATACATACATACATACAAATAGTAGAATGATTGCATCCAATGCGGTTTAAATGACTGTTAATTTGATTTTCAATTGCGTGCGTAGTATGTCCATAGTCATTGAGGTTAAGTATAAATTTTGTGCGGAGTTTTCTAAAGTTTTCTCTTTTTGTTTTGTGCAATTTGCATTGTTTTCGAAGTAAATATAATGAGCTTGAAAAATATGACTTTTTGAAAAAATAAGGTCATCAATAAGAGCACCCTTGCTTGCTCATGATTTATTTTGCGAACGTTTCAAAGTAGATTAAATGTAGTTTATTATTTTTTTTCTAATCTAATTTATTCACATTCATTAATGTTTCATTTTTTATTTGTATATTGGATTTTTCATGTTTTTTTGTTTTCTATATTATTTTTATTTCTATTTTTTGTTATTTGAATTTTTCATATTTTCCTAATTTTTTCTATTTATATTTATTTTTTATTTCTATTTTTTTCATTTGGATATTTTTTGGAATTTTCGTATTTTTAAAATTTATTTTTCTATTAATATTTATTTTTTTATTTATATTTTTTTGGATTTTTTATATTTTCCTAATTTATCCTATTTATATTTATTTTTTATTTCTATTTTTTTAATATTGTTTTTTTTTTTGGATTCTTCATATTTTTTTAATTTATCCTATTTATATTTATTTTTTATTTCTATTTTTTTAATATAATTTTTTTTTGGATTCTTCATATTTTCTTAATTTATCCTATTTATATTTATTTTTTATTTCTATTTTTAATATGATATTTTTTTGGATTTGTCATAATTTTTTATATATATATTTATTTTTTTATATTTTAATTTTGTTTATTTATTTTATTTAACCAAATTTCGAATATACAATAAACGCGAGATATTTTCTTTTTTTTCTGTGAATAAAATAAAGAAAATTTAATAGATTTTTTTAGAATTCAAAAAGTGCACCTTTTAGTTTCTAATTCTAATTGCTTCACTTCCAAATGCGTAGATATCAACTGAATAGTTGCTACAAATTTGAACTAAAGACTCAAATATGAAACCTCAGAATATGCATTCATATGTATTTCAAAAACTCAAATAAAAAATAAATAAAATCAATAAAAATGGAATGAAAGCATAACTTTAGGCGTATATTATTATTTTGCTTTTATTTATTTAAAAGCTGCTTTTTTACCGCCTTTTTCATTAATTTCAATATATTTTTTTCTGCTCCACTGCTTTGAATGTAATTTTTAAAAGAGAAGCTCAACGCAATATATTAAACAAATATTTAACCAACACCAACAACACTTAAGTGTCCTCATAAATTGTGTTTCCATATACTCGTACATATACATATAGTTTTACTTGTGCAAACAACGGCTTATTTCACACGACGTTATGAAGTTCAGTATTTTTAATAAAACAAAAATTGCTACAGAATGTTAAGCAAAAAGATGGAAAAGATATTTATAACAAATCCCGTTTCAAAATGTTTACAACCAAAATATTAAATATTTTTAATTATTTTTCTATTTCTTATTTTACTTAACGTCTCTCTAATGATTTGATTAACAAACAAGAGTAAAACTCAAATTTCAATGTATTTTCTTTTATTTGAATTTTTATACTGTCATCTATCTACTATACAAGATAAACACATGTATTTACATAAATACAAATTTAAGTTATAAAAAAAGAACAAAATACATGTAAAATTAAATAACAACTTTTTTTTAACAATAAAAATAATAACAAGCTAAGCATGGGAAATGTTGGTGAAAAATATGCATGAATGTATATTTTTATTTCCAAAAAAATATATATAAATAAATAAATTATAACAAAATAAAAATAATATATGTGTATGCGTGTAATTTTTATATGAATAAAAAATAATAACAATTTTCACTGCTGGCCAAACGACACAGACATGAAGAGAATACGGTTGCAAGCGTATATGCAGATATGCAGAGAACTTAAAATAAGTTATTTTTAGTTCTCTGGATATGTAGCTATTCCATTGGTTGCATATTTTGCTCGTCAGAGATGTTGCAACTTTGTTGGTATCGTCATAATTCGGTTGACATTTGTACGATAATACAAAAATAAACAACTTTATTTGTACACTAAATCGAGCCTCCATTGCAAGTTCCACGCTATTTAGGTGCTATGTATTCATTGAGTTGCGTGAGAAATCCTGCTCCTATGGCCAAACCATCAACTGGTTCACATGTTACGTAGTGCTCAGTCCGATTAATTAGCTGCTGGAACTCTGAGTACAATACAATTTTCTAATTTCAAAATGAATGTGCATTTTGCTGCGTTATATTTTATTTATTAAAATTAAATTCAAAATCAGTTTTAATACCCTTCCCGTTTTTTTTCACAATTACTTGCACCCTGTGTGTGAAACCAAATTGTTAATGTTATCGATTTCCTCAGCAGCCGATAACTCTGTACACTCAGCCAATCTAACAACAGCTGTTTTCATTGGCTAGCACGCTTTTTGTAGTAAACAATTATCAAATTATTATTGTTATTTTTCTTAAATTCTTGAAAAATGGTGCGAAAACTTAAATTTCACGAACAAAAATTGCTCAAGAAGGTTGATTTTATCACCTGGAAGGTCGATAATGCCGGCAAGGAAGCAAAAGTCTTACGTCGCTATCATATACGCAAGCCCGCTGATTATACCAAGTGAGTGCATTGCTGAAGTTTTTTTTTTTTTTAAATAAATTTTAATAAATCAACAAAATTATTTATTTATTCATACTTAAGATACAACAAGCTGTCACGTGAGATACGCACACTTTGTGAAAAAATAGCAAATCTGGATAAGTCCGATACTTTTAAGATGGAGGCTGCAATGATGCTTCTGGAGAAGCTTTACCTCATGGGTTTAATCAGAAATAAAGCTGAATTGGAAGCAGCTAGTCGTGTGTCCGCGAGTTGTTTCTGTAGACGCAGATTACCGGTGATAATGGTGAAAAGTGAGTTATTTTTTATTTAATATTTGTTTTGTGGTGAAATGTGCTCGGCAAATACATATCTATAAAAATGTTTTTGGTACACGTTGTATTTAGTATCCAAATTTCAAGAAAAAGAAATATTCTAAAAAATTTAAAGCTTCTAACTCCGCGCAGCCAGTTGAGCGAGAGCAAAAACATAGTTGATTTTCTGTGAAAAGTATTGTACTCGCTTACGCATATATTGAAAATTTTAGTTTTGTTTTAAAAATCAAGTTATTGCTGTTATGTTTTAATCCATTTTTGAATGTATGTATGTATGTGTGTATGTAAACAAGCTTTTCTTATAAGATCCATTTTATTACATTTTATTTGAACTAATTTTACAGATCAGCTCTCACAAAACCTGAAAAACGCCACAGATCTCATCGAGCAAGGACATGTACGTGTTGGTCCCGATATGATAACCGATCCAGCATTTTTAGTATCACGCAATTTGGAAGATTTCGTTACATGGGTGGATAGCTCGAAGATTAAGCAGCATGTGCTCAATTACAATGATCAACGTGATGATTTCGCTTTAGTTTAAATTTTAAATAAATTTTAACTTATAAAAGAAAAGCCTCGTTTTAAGTAAATACAAAATAAGAATATTGTGCCTAAAAAAATTCCAAAATATATTCAACTTTCATTTATTCTTTGTAGCAGTGTACATTCAACTAATATAAAAACTTCAAACAAGTGGATAACTGCATTCCTCGGCGATACCACAGAAATTACTGCCACGTGGCAATCTAAAGTAGCCATCTTCGCCCCAATTCTTGTCCCATGAATTCTTCACAATCCAATAATCCTTGCCTTTCTCACTGCCATAGCCCACCACGAGCACAGCATGATTCACTTCGCCTTTATTGCATTCTGCATCATCGTAAATGCCTTCTTTGTAGAGTAAAAGTGTTTCCAAAGCATTCACCGAACAAGCCAAGGGGCCCAAGGTACCAACAATTTCCTTCATAGTTTTCTCATCTTTCGGTTTGATCGCAGCAAAACCTTTCACTTCTGCTGCCTTACTAGCCGGACTGTATTTGCATGTGTCTTTCTTATCCAAATATGGATATGAGCCGCCAGGTGCTAAACCCTTCTGTTCGTCCTTGATAAAAGCGAAGGCATATTCCTGATAACCACCATCACAACCGGCTAAACCGAAATCTACGGTCCCACAATCGATCAGATTTTGTTCGGATAGCACTGGCAATTTGCCAGTACTACGGAAAATATGACCCTCAATAGCACCGGTGGTGGCAAAAGCCCAACATGAGCCGCATTCACCTTGATATTTTACTGGCGTAACGCCACCTTTTTGACGCCAATCAACAGCATTTGGCACTTTTGTGGTCGGTGGTACAGCCTCTTGACGATTTGCGCTGGCCTTTGATCTGTAAAAGTTGGGTTGGGGAAGGAAAAATGTATATTATGCATATTTTGTCTTGGTGAAGGCTCTTATGTTCATTAACTCACTCGCCACTAGCTGATTTCTTGTTACCCGTGAGTCTCTGTAAAAATTCCAATTTAGTTAAATCGGAAAAAGCGTTGAGTACACACTTGAAGCCCGACGATCCCGCATTGACATTTTCAACCAATTTTTTGTGATCCAAAAATATAGCTTCACGTGCGCTATCGACTAAGTCCTTGCCAGTTTGTGCCTATGTGGTAATAGAGGAAGTAATAACAGACAAATATGTAGGTGTGTAAATACTTTTAATTAATTTTTAATAAAAAAACTATAAAAGTATAACGTGTTCCTGTAGTAGGCTGTTTACAAAAAACTTATTAAATCAAAAAATAAATAATATTTAATTAAAAAATAAAAATTAAAAAGTTGTAATATACAAAAATATTAAATTAAAAAATAAAAAAAAAATTAAAGAAATGAGAAAAATTATTTAAAAAGAAAAAAATATTAAAAACTAAAAAAAAATAATTAAAAAATTAAAAAAAAAAATAGCAAATTACAAAATTAATAATAATAGAAGACATAAGTAATATATATAAATAAATAAAATATTAAAATAAAAAGGAAAAATTATAAAAAATAATGAATTGAAAAAAATAAAAAATTTAAATAAAAAAAGATAACAAATTTAATTAAAAAAAATAAAAAATTTAATTAAATAAGTAAATAAAAAAAAATTAAAAAAAAAATTTATGTAAATAATAAAAATTATATAAATAACAACAATAAATTGAAAAATATTTGATTAATAATTTAAAATTAAAAATATTTAATTTAGGAAATAAAACAATTAATACTTTATTTTAAAATTGATAATTAATTAAAATATAAATATAATAAAAATATATTCAAAAAATTAAAAATAAACAAAAAAATTATTACATTAAAAAAATATATCAAATAAGAAAATTTTAAAATTTTCATATGTATTGTATATAATTAGATTTAAAAAATAAAAATTTCAATATCATATTAAGAATATATAATAATAATGTAAATAATAATAATAAAATAAAAAAATATCAATAATGAAACAAAAAAAAATAATATAAAAAATATAATAAATCAAAAAAAAAAATACCATACAAAAATATAATGAAATAAATAATTTTAGAAATAAAAAATTGAAATAATACAAAAATAATATTTTCAATTAAAAAACTTTAAAAAATAAAGATTATTTACCAAAAAATCTCCATAACTTTGAGCATCAACCTTCGGAATAGAGTTTGTGAAACTGTTAAAAGTATTAACGGCTGCTTGCACAGGATCAGGAATTCTGCCGAAAGGATTAAAACCGCGCTGTGCCGTGGAAAAGGCGAAGAAGAGTGGCAATAGCCACATCGTGGCGACAAAAAAGCGCATTTTATCTAAAGTTATTAAAAAGAAAGAGCGGAAAGGAAAGATAAAATTTACATTAAAAATCGTTAAAAAACTTGCATAAACTTAAAAACCTGAAAATTTTTTTTAAAAATATATATATTTATTTGAGTGTTTTATTTCGGTTAATTAGATGAACCGCCAAACCTGTATAAAAATACAGTTATCATTTTTTATTTATCACACACATGCAAACACAATTAAATTGAGAAAACATTTCCATTTTTATTTTTATTTCCCATTTTTAATCAATTAATTATGTAAATATAGCACATATACAGGCCAAACACAATCGGCAAACCAAAAATACAATTTTTATTTAATTATATACAAACGAGTAATCTAAAATTCATAATGCATAATCATATGTACGTGTATGTATGTATATAAGTTAGTGAGCAATGAGATAATATGTGAATCGGAGATTCGCGTAACGGGTAGCCGCTTTTTAACGTTTTCGTAGAAACTATTAAAATACAAAATGTGTTTTTTATGATAGCTTAATTATATTGAGAAAAAACGTGAATTTTATATAAACTGCTCAAGCTCTTATGAGATGCTTACAAAATATGACTTAAAGTACGACATGATTTTGTGAGTGTAAAAAAGGGACTTCCTTTTTTGGTTGTAGACAAGAGAAGGCAAGGCTATAAAGAAACTCAATAAAGCTCAGTGAGACTAGAAAATGCAGTTCGTGTAATGTCTTAATAATAATCTGATCTGATGGAAGTATAAAATCAAATCTATGCCATATTAATATTACTAATAGAAAGACTATGTACTCCGTCCACGCTCTTAAGTATTTTATTATTACAAAAATTTACGCATTACAAACATTTAAGCGATTTTCATTACAGCAGATATTCTCCAACTTGCAATGAGCACCATAATTTGCGATGAGCACCATAAAGCTATCTCCTTCAAAGCCATACTCAACCATAACCTAACCTAATAATTATATCATAACCAATATCTGATGAGCTATTAAAGTAAATAACATCAGAATATAATTTTTAGTGCGAATATTTACCTCATTTTGGTTATTTAAATGAGTGATATGCAATTTTGCTCACTTCCAAGCAGCAGCGAATTACTCAGAGCAAAATATAAATACATCCTGTTGACATAAATATAAATATTTCCACTTGCACTCATTTTATATTTATCATATATCATAATTTTTGTTCAGGGTTTTTCAATTTAAAACAGCATATTGAAAATCTGTTAGTTTTTTCCCCGAAAATCATATGTTCATAGCAACCAACTTCAAGCCATAAACACAGTGGTGTTAAGGGGAATTAAATAATTCTACTTAAAAATTTTCAACTGAAATTGATTTTTAGTATATGTAAATAGTTGATACATTGTGAAAGCTTGCGAACTTGTCGGAAAGCTTAAGAAAAGCATGTATATAAAATTAACAGCTTATATGTGGCTATATGTGGAGGTTGTATGGAACTTGTGGAGCCAATCCACAAAGTAATATCGTTCTCAAACCTTCGAGATCAATAGTTTTCTCAAACTGTTTTCCTCAATATTACAAATTTTCTAAAAAGTTATATCAAACATTTTTTTTAAATATTTGGAGCCTCCTAAAATTTTTCAAAATATTCAATATCTCTCCTAAAAATTTAAGAATTGCTAAAATATTGTATAGTAACCAATATCAACTCATGTAGCACTTTTATTTAAGTCATAAATCTATTGATGTGGATGGATAACTTTGACTAAGTTTACTATTCTGCAACGATGTAGACACCGCGGACAAGGGCGACGCAGTTGAAGAAGCTAAAAGCTTGCCTGAACACCACGTTGAGGACTGTGAAGGGAATTAGCTTGATGACGCCCAAGCACCACTAACACCAACTCTCAACAACACTCTCAATTGAACAGCATAATTCTCTGCATCAGGTGGAATGTTACCATCAACATAGTCCCAACCGATACTTAATGGTAGCTAAACAACCACCTGGACATACCACTTGACTTGAAAGCCTTCATACAGTATTTTAGAACTGATGCGCTGGAACGAATGTTATACCAATAGGCTTTGAAATCCATTCACCGAGAGTAAGTCAACACCTTCGTAAACATTTCTAGCCGTGAATGGCGTACACGGAGTCCCAACAGCACTTACTCAGAAATCGAGCTGTCACGTTGGACTAGAGTAACACTGGCACAGTTAAGGTCTGGATATTGTTGTCAGCTTTGTTAGGAACCTAACTAGACCTTACACCATCATACTCAACGTATGTCATGCATGCAAAGAGACCCCGCACGCACTAACCACCTTTTTGCATGCTCTCTCTGGTCGGAACTAGTCGAAACAGTGCATTTCCAGGACCTCCTAAGCAAGATAAAGCTTGAATGCTAAGGGAAGAAGGATAGAGCAGCTGTTAAATATGTAAATCAATTTTGTTTGGTACACAGATTTTAAGTTTTTTTTTTAAATCTTTTATACATTGTTTTGAAAAACTGTTAATTAATTAATTAATGAAATTAATAAATGAATTGACCTGTAGTGTATACTAAACCACCTCCGAACGGCTGAAGGATTTTTAAGTTCGAAATACACTCGAAGGGCTTAACATACCCTGCGGAAGAGCGACCGTTTTTGGATATTGATCGAACCGGGTCTGTAACCCTGACTTTCTGAATGGTCGCCATGAGATATCTTGGACAAATTGAAACTGAGACTGTACGCCACAGTTGACTAAAAAGAAAACTACGCCGAGCGAAAGATAGACTGAAGTTTTGTTGGGCTAGAACTTCTTTTTCCACTCCACATGATGTTTTGTAAACGCATTTCGGTCGAGTTTCGCTTCGGCAATTTATGTCTTGAGTTTTTTACTCCACATATCGCCTTTGAATTACTTTTTTTTTTATAATATTTTTTTTTTATATTGAACTAAACCGGATCACCGGATGTCTAAGAATACGAAGATCTAGAAGATGTCTTTAGAACAGTTTAGAAGTGCAGAAGCTTAGTCAGTATGGGAAGTCTGAAGATAATAGGAGACATTCGACAGCATTCAGATGGTATCTATTGAAACTCTTGAAATGATCTTACTGGCGAATAGTTGCTTTGCCTTGAAGGTTTCTTCCGCACTTGTGAGAACATTCCTGGCTGGTATATGAATACGTATATAATTGGCTCTGCAACGATTTTCGACCGAGCTCCTCCGCCAATTTGTGGTGTGTGCGTTGATGTGTTGATGTGCTGCCCAAAAAATCGAGGGACCTGTAGTTAGTTAATACTAAGCTACTGTACTAAGCCGAATGGTTGAATGAATTTTATGAAGATTTTTTGGATTTTCATGTCAGAAATACTATCGCATGGGCTTGACTTGCTATGCCGCGGGCCGGTCGTAATTAGAAAAAATAATTCTCTATAATTCTGGAACTTAGTCGGATCAGGACTCGTGTCCTTCCTGTACATTTTAAGTGCTAACCACTCGGCTCTCCACTCGACGTCCTCCAGGTAGCACTAGTACAAACAAACGAATCTCCATACCCAATAACAATCCAGACACGCCCCCACAGATAAAGCGTGTAATCAAATCTTTTATTAAATATTATGCATTTTTGATAACCTTTTCAGTTGCATTGTTACAGAGATGCAAATCATATTTCTATTATTTTTTTTTTACAATTTTAATCACTTTATTTCGCTTCTCAGTGAAACTCTATTATTATTTTCGAATTAAAGCGTAATTAAGCTTACTTCACCCATTGAACTTGTTGCAGTGAATTAAGTGAGTTTTTTCTTCTTCAAATTAACACTTTGCCTTTACGGAACACACACACACACACACACATACACAGATGAGCACTAGCTCTCTCACTCACTCACTCACTCACCTAATAAAAATAACCGGTAGTTGCGGAGATTAGTAGTCGGAACGAGTAGTTGAAGGTGTTGGCGCTACAGTAGTCACGTTACTAATGATGATTCTGTGTGGTGATGAGGCGGCTTTTATAGCCTTTATAGCTTCATAAATTTTTGCTTCAACTAATGGTATATATATGTATATATATTGTATTTAAATATACAAGTATACAGAACAATATTTAAAAATTGATTTAAAATTGGAGACTCGGAGATGCAGAGACGACAATGCGGATTAAGAAAAAAAAAGTTGTCTAATTAATTAGAAATATTTTCAAAAAGCGAGCAAACGGTGCAGAAGACAAGTTAAAGTGTGTTAAAACCGGCTACAACAAATACTGACAGCTGGCAACTTCCAACAGCTGACCAATTTTTTTTTTTTTCAAATTTCTCAACTATACTCCCAAGCTTCGCCAAGAGTGTTTATTTTGGATTTCGTAAATTAATCATTCGATCGTGGAGCTGATTTTATGAACTATTTAAATTAAAATAATTTAAGAATTCTAAACGGAGTCTCTTTTTTGGGAACATTATATCTATTAGGTTGTTAGGATGTGCTGGCTGCCGATCTATGGCAACGCTTATATTTAGGTGATTACACTATGCTTTGCTTCCCAACCATTTCAAATCTCTAATGGACTTCATTAGATTAATGATTTTGATGCCGGCCATTCATGCAGCGGTAGAGTCCTAAAAATCCGAAACCTCGCACTGCACAAGGGAAAACCATCGCATTATAGATGAATGAACGTTTACTTCTCTTCATCATCGTTGCAGCTTCCGCAGCATGTCCTATAGCGAGAGCCCCTTGCGAATAGCAGTAAACACGACTAATAACTCGGGGCATCTACTCCCTGAGATATGGTCGCCCATCAAGCTGGGTGGAATCCACTAAGTTCAGAGCACTATCTTGGCGAGTATCTGTCCTTTAGCCGATTGGAGTGTCAAATCATTTAGGATGCTCCCAGCTACTGTCTTACGGTGATGGACATGTACGGACGAATCAATCAAATCCGCTCCGCCAGTGAAAATGTAAGTTCCGGACGGTGACATACAAAAACGGAACAGCCAGTTTCGATGACAGTCACGTGAAACTCGTCTTTGAATCGTTACTAAAACATACATATACATATATGAGTATCTACTCAAGTGTTTGTATGTATGTTTATGTAAGCAGCAGGTAAATTATCTTTAATAAACTTCTAATGACACGCTCAGAGCAGATCAGAAAACAAGTTATTTTTCTGATAAACTTTTTTAAATGTTAATGAGATGTCGATAAATGAAAGTTATGATCGGTAATAAACAAATGGCGCAAAGAAAGAAGTAATATGTATGTGTATAAATAAATAATTAAAAAAAAAATATAAACAAAATTTTTGCATAAATTTAAGGAAGAAATTAAAAAATGTCTTAAATGTTGATTTCTTCTTTTCTTTTTTTTATTTATTTTTTTAAGATTTTTTATGTTATAATTTTTGTTATTTGTTAAAGATTTTTATTTATTTTTCAAAATTTTTTATTTCTATAATTTTTTATTCACTTATTTTTATTTATGTTTTCATGATTTTTCAATGTATTTCACTTCATGGCTTTTTTATTTTTTATGTTTTTTTATTTTTACTTTTCTTATTTTATTTTTCTATATTTTTTCTTTATTTTTATGACTTATTATTTGTAATTAATTCTTATGATTTTTTATTTCTATTTAAATTTTTATGATTTCTTTTTTAATTTTATATTTTATTAATTATTTTTAATGATTTTAAATTATTTATATAAGTTTTTATTTTGATTATATTTTACATAATTTTTTTAATTTTTATGATTTTTGATTATTTTTGTTTTTGATTATTTTTATGGTTTATATTTTATATGCTTTTTTATTTTATATGGTTTTTAAATATTTTTATGTTTTATTTTATTTTAATTTATATAATTTTTTCATTTGTTAGGTTGTTACTTAATTTTTATGATTTTTTTTATTTATATGAATTTTAAATGAATTTTTATTTTTTACTTTTATTTATATTTTTATGATTTTTTTCTTATGCTTTTTCTATATTTTCGTGACTTTTTTAATTTTTTTTTACAATTTCTGATGATTTTATGTTATTTAATAATTTTTTACTTTTATTTATATTTTATATGATATTTTTATTTGTTGCGTTTTTCAATTATTTTTTATGTATGTTTTTATTTTAGTTTATATATTTTATATTTTTCCATATATTTTAATTTTTTTTATTTTTATATAATTATTACCATATTTTATTGTATACATATTATTGATATTTATTTCATACAAAATAATTTTTATGACTTTTTGCTTTTTTTAATTTTTTTTTAAATTTTTATATTTTTTTATTTTTGTATAACAATTTTATATTTTTTATGACTTTTTATGTGATTTTATATTTTCCTCCTTTTTTATTCAGTATTTTCTTAATTTTTTCCCTAATTTTTTTATGATTACTTTATTTGTTATGAATTATATATATATTTTTGTATTCTTTTTCCTATTTTTTATGATTTTTTTTAAATTTTTTACGAACTTTTTATTTTTTGGAATATTTTCAAATTTTTTGTCTCATAAAGTTATTACAATTCTCCCCTCTAATTTATGTGATTTCATCAAAAAGTATACATTTTTAATTTATAAATTCGTCATTTATTTAGCTCCATCATATTTAACTACAAAAACAGCTCAAAATTTAACACAAAATCCTACCAAGAACCCCTCACACTATAGGATAACTGCACTCCTCCGCAATGCCACAGAAATTTCGGCCACGTGGCAATCTAAAGTAACCATTTTCACCCCAATTCTTGTCCCACGAGTTCTTCACAATCCAATAATCCTTGCCCTGCTCACTGCCATAGCCCACCACCAACACCGAATGATTCACTTCCTCTTTATTACACTCCTCATCCGCGTAAATGCCTTTACCGTAGAGCAACAGCGACTCAATAGCATATACTGAGCATGCGATGGGCCCCAAAGTGCCCACCACTTCCTTCATTGTTTGCTCATCCCGCGGTTTAATTACTGCAAAACCCCGTAACTGCGCTGTTTTTGTAGCTGCGTTGTATTTGCATGTGTCCTTTTTATCCAAATATGGATATGAGTCACTTGTGGCCACACCCCGCTGAGCTACTTTAATGAAATCGAATGCGTATTCTTGACTACCACCATCACAGCCGTTTAAGCCGTATTCTACGGGTCCGCAGTCGACTAGATTTTGTTCGGAGAGCTCTTGCAGTTGGCCAGTGCGTCGAAAGACATGTCCCTCAATGGCGCCAGTGGCGGCAAAGGCCCAGCAGGAGCCGCAGTCACCTTGATATTTTACTGGCGTAACGCCACCTTGTAAGCGCCAATCGAAAGATTCTGGTACCCGGCAAGCGCGTGGTGCGGCCTCCATACGTTCTAGCGCGGCTCTGGATCTGGAAATTTGGAAGACGTGTTTAATAAATGACATACGATTTGCATGTATCTTTACTTACTCGCCACTCGCTGATTTTTTGTTGCCCGTCAATTTCTGTATAAACTCCGTAAAAGTCAAATCGGCAAAGGCGTTGATGGTCAATTCGTACCCCTTGGACGCGGAATTATGTAAATTAACCAATTGATGACGTGCTCGAAAGATTCCTTCGCGCAAATGTCGCTCGGCGGCGGTGGCGTAGGTCTTGCCGGTTTGGGTCTGAAAGTGAAAGAGTGTAGGAACATTGATAATTATTTTAATTATATTTTTTAATCTAATTTAATTTAATTTATTTTATCTATTTAATTAAAATTTTTGGTATGTATGGGGTTATAGTCATGCTTCTGGGTATTCAGTTACGGTCAAAGGCCCACACTCAATTCCTACTCTTGCGGCCACGTGGCACACCCTTGGAATGTAAACCCTGTGCTGTTTCTACGACGTTATGTCTGAATTCGATATTCCCGAAAAACTTATACGGCTCTGCAGACTGACGTTAAGCAACACTAAGAGCTCCGTCAGAATCGAGAAGGATCACTCCGAACCTTTCGATACAAAACCGGGCTCCTACGTCACTGTTGACAATCATAATTTCGGAATAGTATTTAATTTCGTCTATCTAGGGACCAGCATCAACACCAAGAACAATGCCAGCCTGAAAATCCAACGCAGAATCAACCCTGTCAACAGGTACAACTTTGAATTGAGTAAGAAGTAAAGACCTCTACCGACGTACAAAGACCAAAGTCTATAGGACGTCCTTCCTTCCCGTCCTGTAATATGATGCGAAGGCATAAACAATGTCGTCATCAGATGAGACGCCGTCAAGTGCTTTCGGGGCCACGGTTTTGCGTAAGATTCATTATGGCTGTCTCTGGGCTGGGTACGGCGAATACCGCAACTGATGAAATAATGAGCTGTACGAGATTTACGGCGACGTTGACATAGTTCAGCGGAACAAAAGACAGAAGTTAGGTTGGTTAGGTCATGTGTCTCGAATGTATAAAAATACTCCAGATTTGAAAGATTTCGATGCAGTACTCCCCAGTAGAGAAGGAAAACCTCCTCTGCGATTGGGTGGCGAAGGACCTGACCGTTCTTGGTATTTCCAATTGGTGCCAAGCAGCGAAAAGAAGGAATGAATGTCGCTTTGTTGTTAACACGCGTCCCCGTCATTAAAGAAAAAGAAGATTTTTATTTTTTATATCAATTTATATCATATTATTTTTATTTAATTTCTGTTATTTTATTCTCTTCTATAATATTTTTTATTTAATTATATTGGTTATTTAAACCTATTTGATTTTTTTGGTATTTGTTAAATTAGATTTTTTTAAATTAATTTTATTATATTCAAAATTTTTTTTACTTTGTTTTAATAAAATTATTTTATTTCTTTTGTTTTGTTTAATTTTGCTATGTTTTCTAAATTAATTTTATTATTTATTTTAGTATTTTTTATAAATTATTTATTATTTATATATTTATTTTAATTTAATTTACTGTTATTATTTTTTTTTGTTTAATTTTTTAATTATAGGTTTTATTTTTTATTTTATTTTTTTAATCAATAACTTTTTTTCTTTTAATTAACTTTGTTATAATTTTTGCTTAATTTTATTTAGTTTAATTTAATTTATTGTTTTTAATTTTAAATTATTTTTTTATTTATGAGCGATATTTCGTTTAAATTAATTAACTTTAAAACTTAAATTAGGTTATTTTATTTTTTGGTTTTATCTAATTTTATTATATATTTTATATTATTTTAATTGTATATTTTTATTTTTTAAGCTAATTTTTTAATATACATACATTTTTTGAATTTAATTTCCTCTTTAATTTTTTTTATTTTTTTGTTAATTATTAATTCTTTTATTTATCAATGTTATTTCGTCTAATCAATTGCTTTTTTCATTTTAATTAGCTTTATTATAATTTTTATTTATTTTCTTCCATTTTTGATTTAATAGAATTAGCTGTACTTCAATTTATTGTTATTAATTTTTTACTAATAAACGGTTTTTCGTTTAAATTATTATTTTTTTTAAATTAGGTTATTATATTTTTTTACTTAATTTTATAATTTTTTTTTATAATTTTTATTATTTACTTCTAAATGAACTTTGAATATATATATATATATATTCATTCATATTTTAATATAATTTTCTATTATCAATTAATTATTTTATTTTTTTTTTTATTAATTTTTTTATTTATCAATTTTATTTTTATATTTTACTTAACTTTGATACAATTTTTTATTTTACTTTATTCATTTTTTATTTAGTTGAATTTATTGTAATTTAATTTATTGTTATTAATTTTTAATTAATACTTTCATTTATATACATTATTTGGTTTAAATTAATAATATTTTTATTAAAATAATTTACTTTGCTTTAATTTATTTAATAATAATTTTTATTTTACTTTATTCATTTTTTATTTAGTTGAATTTATTGTAATTTAATTTATTGTTATTAATTTTTAATTAATATTTTCATTTATATACATTATTTGGTTTAAATTAATAATATTTTTATTAAAATAATTTTCTTTGCTTTAATTTATTTAATAATAATTTTTATTTTTATTTTAGTTGAGTTTTCTTTATTTAAATTTATTGTTATTATTTTCTTTTGTTTGGTATTTTATATTTTTATTAATTAATTTATATATAATATAAAATTAATTTCATCTTGTTGAACTCAATCTTTTCATTCCAATTTATTTTAATTGAATAGTTTTTTTTATTATTATTTTTTTTTTTTTTAATATTTTTTGTTTTATAAAATTTTTTTATAGTTTTTGTTTTATTTATTATTGATTTCGTTGCATTTTTTTTAAATTTAATTTATTGGTAATAATTTTTAATTTTTTTTATTAATTTTTTATACATCAATATTATTTTGCTTAATTAAATTCTTCTCATTTTATTTTGTTTTAACTAAATTAACCATTTTTCTTTTAAAATTTATTTTATTATTTTTTTTTACTTTTCTTTAATTAATTTTTTCAATTTATTTGAATTTCATTTGGCAGCATTTTTTATTTTATTTTTCTATGTCACTCACCGCAAAATCCGTGAAATTTTGTACATGCGAAACCAACGGTACCGATTTCAAGGTATTGGTTACTGTATTGAAATTCTCGTAGAGCGAATTGGAGAATCTGTGGAAATCGAAGCGCCCATAATGTGCGTGGGTTACAGTGAAAAATACCGTCAGCAGCCACAGCACCGAACCCAAACGCATTTTCACTAAGGAAAATTAAATAAAAAAGTGAGTAAATTTGCAAATATGTAATTAATTTGTTTTTTTTTTCGAAGGCAAATCAATTTAATTGTTTTATTTTTTTCAACTGTATACTTGTACATATGTATGTATATTTGTATCAGAGTTCAAATCACTTTCGTTAAATCACAATTTTAGCTGATAAGCCTTTTTAGTTTTAATGTTTTTTTTTTGCCTTGTAAATATTTTTGTTTGTTTCATATATGTACGTATATGATCAATTTGAGCTTATTCTCGTACTTGCCGTTTATGTAAGTCGATTGTGTCTGTGTTATAGATCTCACTTTACTGGTAAGAGATTCTGTGTTGTCGCGGTTTTTATAGGCCAATTGTTTTTTGATTCCAATTTTTATGTCTTTATTATAGTTCAGCTGCTCAGTTTTTAGATTGCTAACAACACGGCACCTTAGCCGGAAGTACGAGTGAGGGGAATAAACATTTAGATGCTTCACAAGGGGTCATAAAATCAGTTGGTTGTCATAAATTGAGATCGTGCAAAAAACCCAATTTAGATCAACCATTGGCTGCTTAAAAAGGATTTTTTATTAATAAAAGGATTATATATATATATATATATATATTATCGGTCTAGTAAAAAGTAATCCATTATCTTTGCATTATATGGCCTTAAAATCGTAGCAAACTCAACCCGTTTCTGCAGTGAATGATGAGTGGTGGATCACTTACATCAAGATCAAATGAAAATGGTCGTAGTGGAAGGTCGTTGAGCCGGCGGAAATGGTTCCCAAACGAGGATTGGCGGCCAGGAAGGCGGTTTGGTGGGATTGGCAAGGAATCATACTGTGATCAAACTCTTAATTCTGAACTGTACTGTCAAACATCGCGCCGCCCGACAACCAGAAGGGGAATTGTGGTCCATCAGAACAACAATAGTACGAAGCTCCGACAGTTTGGTTGGGAGTTTCGCATGGGTCCACCTTATATTCCGGAACTCGCACAAATGAAAAACACGGTAATCACATCTGTGCTTGTCTATCACGAACATTTTGGCTGTTGTAGAATCGGCCTCAAGAGAAGCGTGTGAAAATCGATTGTTACAATTTTTCCAATAGGGACAAAGGGTTTCTATTACAGAGGCTCACTTATATTACCTTCAAAATGTTATCGAACAAAATGTTGACATAAATCGGATAGTTCTAGATGTGGTTAATAAAGCCTTCAGTTTTTTGAATCCCCTAATTGCTCAGACATCTGTAGAAAATAGTACTTCTTATCATCGATCATGCTGAATGTTATAATTTCATTCCAAAGTACTCCCAGACAAAAATCAAATATAATGAGTTTGAAAGTGATAAGAAAGTGCTCTCCCAAAAATTAAGAGTAATTTCTTAATGCTCAAATGCTCTTTACTATAAAAAACTTATTTTATAGTCAAAGGGTAAAATTTACCTCTCGTCGCCAGTGAAGAAAAGGAGCATTCCATCAAAAGGGAGCTTGAAGTCGACAGTCCCTCTTATCTAACCCCTTAAGCGGGATTTTTAAGGAATCATTTCCCCTAAGTGAACCTAATCAATTGCCTAGGTTTAATGGTATTCTAAGAGCTCTTGAATCTGTAACTATAAAATCACAAAAGGTGGGGAATTTCTCAGGCCAGGTAACGTAATAGTTAAGCAGTTCTCTGAATGAACTCTCTCTAGGTACCTGCGTGTAGTAACATACTGGGTAATATGACATGTAGGGAGCTTATAAGTAAGAGTAATTTCCCTACACTTTCACTATCTGCGCATACCGTGCAAAATAGGCATTTGAAACCATAGGAAATTTCCTTTGCGAATGTCCCACACTTTGGAGCATTAGATTGAAGTCTCTAGAGGCGGCAATTTTTGGAGACTATGTCGATGTCGATTACTCTATTTTGATAACTTCACACATTGGTTTGTCTAGCGGGTGGGAGGTATTTAGGTTCTTACGATTTTTGGATTGCCTAAGTGAGCTGATAAGCTGTGATCCCAGCAACCAGTTCAACCTAACCTAACCTAGAGTTTAAGTGACTTTCTGAAAATTATCTCACTGTATTAATGAACATCATTTTGAGCGCTTCAATTACTACTTCGTGAGGTTGGTTCTATCCCAAAATAATCTACAAAAAAGCTTTTCTAAAGGTGACTTGGTTTTATTTTAATTTTTTCAAAACAATTTTTGATGGCCTCTCGCTGATCGATTATATCTTAGTAGCAGAGGTTAGGCACACTCTCGATGGAATACGTCATTGCTAAGGTTGCTTTGGCGTCTTTTCATAACTGGTCATAAAAAGGCCAATCTTCCTTTGATTCGTAATTCCTGAACTTCTATAATTTTAGATGAGGGGAAGTAAACTTCGAGTGGTAGGGAGGACGAGCTGATAACGGCAGTGCGATTCAACTTTAAACGACATATCTCAGACTGATTATAATAAGTGGTTAATTGTGGCAGTTGCTATCAACGAAGACCTGAGACGAAGCGAGTTACTAAAGGAACACTCTCGGTGTGGTAAAGTTAGGATATTTTCTCTGAACTGACCATGATAGTCATGGAAACGGTCTCACTATAGGAAGTCGGCTTTGGCGGTTATTGAATTCTACCGAGAAGAGTTGAATGAAATTTCAATGTTGGTGAAATCAGATTACGCCACACAAAGGCGTAAGTGCCTCGTCAGACATTTACTTTACACACCAGCATATTTTGAACTGAACTAATTCTTGTTGTAAAGAGAAAGACTCTGGAGTTTATAAAGAGCTTGCGAGATTTTTCGGGACGCAGTGGAGTTTGCAAAATGGCTCAATTTAACTGTATTGGCATTTTTTCTGTAATTTTTTGCCAAGGAACTTGAAGTGAGGCTTGGAAGGATATTTAATTGACAACCCATAGCCGCTGAAATGTTTCAGAGGGTTTGACATCCACTGCAGAGAGATCTTGGTATAGCCATGGTTCGACCCATGAACTTCTGATACCTTTTTTTTGTAAATTTTCCTTAACTCCGGATTATGGAACGATTTTACTATATTTAGCTGATCGTGGACTGTTGTAATTTTTGTTGAGGTAAAGTAGGTTCTACAGTTTACCGAGTGTCATTGAGAGGATTTGAGCTCGATAGGAGTGGTTTTCTTGGAATTGACTTCTGCATTACAAGTCTTACTTGTTCGGAGTTTCAGAAGGACTTATTGAAACTGTATACAGATTTTCTTCTGTAAATGATTGACGTGAGCTGGGAGTAAGGGATAATACCCTGATCGATACGAAGAGATTCGAGTAGGATAAAAGTTCTTTCGGAGATGTGTAGGTGATTAAAGAAGTCGATATTTGGTAACGAAACGCCATAATACCTTGCTCTCAATGATTTATCAGAGAATGTGGTGAGGAAAAGTGCACTACCGACTGTTAGGGTTAATTTTACTTTCCTAAAAATGTGCCGCTTTCCCCCCTCTCTCTCTCTTTCCCTCCTTCTCTTGCACTCTCTATATGCGTCTAAGGTACTTCCCTGTTTGTTGGTATTTCCTTTTTTTGTTTGAGGTAAATGCGGCTACAGATTTACGAGTTTAACTTTTACTCTGATTCCTTAATTAAAAACTCATTATCATTTATAGTTTTATGTATAATTTTTATTGCCTGCACATATACTGGGAAATACATATATTTACATATGCATGTAGATATGTAAACGACATATTTACAGTATATGTGCATTTTAAAATACATATACAAATACATTATACATATGTATATTATATATTTTCTCACTTAAAAATCTAGTTTTACTGCCGAATAGCAATCGTTTTCTATGGTAATTATTTTATTTTTTTTTATACTTTATTTTTCGCAAATATTACAGTAGTTTTTGAATATTTTTTTGCAAATCCAAAATTTTTTTTTTTAAGTTTGAGGCTTTTTTTAATATAAAAATATTTTTTATTGCAAATTTGTGCACAAAAATGTTTAAAAGCGATTGTTATATTTTATTTAATACATAAAATAATATTATATATAATATGTTTTTACTTTTTTTTATTAAATACTTAAACCAGCTGAAAGTACTCGCACGTTTCGGTCGTTAAAAGCGAGTATACACGCAGCGAGTACTCGTTGCATTCTTGTGCGCAACTCGTTCGTTTAAGTTTACCGATTTTGCTAGGTACTCGCTATAGTTCTATGAGTACTGAGTGCACTCAGTGTATTTTAACGGTCTCCAGTTGTATTCGCTGTGCTTATTGTAGTATTTGGACCACTTTCGTGCTCATTCGCTACTGTAAAGACCGAGACGTACAATATATTTCTAATACTTTCGGGCTACAAAATAATTTTAATTTTTAATACAAGTTTTTAAGCACATTTTCTTGTTATAAAAAATACTAAAAATAGGATTTAATGTTTTTTTATTTTTTAAAGATCAATAGTTACTTAAATAGAGTTTACTCTCTTTCTCTCATCTCACTGGGGTTTGGGTCGTACTTAGAAGTGCAATGGTGTGGTTGTGTATACTTTTTACGCTTTTTACTGTCTAAAAAATAAATTCGAGATCGTCAGATCTGTTAATAATTATAGTATGTAAGTATGTAAGTGGTAATGTGTGATATGTAATTTGTCTGCCTACACACGCTTTTCGTAAGCAACTCGGCATGTGTTAAAACCAAGCGAGCATCTTCTCACACTCAATCCATTCGTTGCCGTTCTAAACTAAACGTCTGCGCTAGTTAACTCTTTACCACGCTCTTTCTCTGCGGTTTCCACTCCAAACATGCGCCATAATTCCCTCTCTCTCTATCTTTCTGCCTCTTTATAACGGTTTTCCTCACTTTCTCCCCCTCTCTCTCGCTCTCTTTCTCTCTCTACTTCTCAATCGCTTTCTCTTGCTCTGATCCTTGCCTTAAAACTTATGCGCTTCCTCATTGTTAACCACCTCTGAGGTCTCGCCCAGCACACGCATAGCATTCGAATAATCCGAATCTATTTGTGGTATAATTTGTTTATTATTCGGACGCAATGTACGTATCAAATCGGTGAGTGAGAGAAATGATTGCCGATCAACATCATTATTATTATTCTCATGATGTAGCAGACCAGCTGTTGGCAGGTTATGACGTTGGTTTTCATTGCTGGCGGCAGCCATCTTTTCAATTTCCTGCGAAATTTGCTTGAGACGCACTTCAACGGTGGGCACTTCGGCAGGCGCTGCAATAGCCGGCACTGGCAGTGTCTTCAATTGATCCTCACCAACCGTATTGATTTTACTGTCAGCAGTCTCCTCGGCGCCATCCTCATGTGAAGCAGATGCATTGTTCTCATCGTTGGCGGTCTCCTCATCATCATCATCGACTGCATCCGGCAACTGAGCTACGTCATGTGTGAGTTGTTGTTCGGCTGACTCTTTACTGGCGATATGCAAATCATTGTTGTTACCCTCGTAGACGGGCAGTGTACGCTTCTTATCATCGCCAGCATCGACCTCCTCATCGTCAGCGTCGAATGCGTCATGTTCATGTTCATGCTCATCGTGTTCGTCGTGTTCATGTTCATGTTCATCATTCTTGGCCTCCTCTTCGCCGCTGTCCAGATCATGGTTGAGATTCAACGAGACAAAAGACAATTGTGGCTCATCATGTTCGTCAGCGGTCTGATGTGAACGCTTCGAGAAGGGTGTGTATGTGGACAGAGTAAGTGGTAACGGTGTGGTGGATAGGCTCAGCCTGGTGGCGTCGACGGTGGGGCGTGTGGTGGTAGAGGTGACGGGACGGCTGCGCATGTGTAAAGAAATGTTTGAAAGGAAAGGTAATAAAAACACATTGCAATTAGTCATAAAATTTCGATTGTAAAAAAATTATCGATAATAAAAAAACCGTATTCAAGTCTACTGAGAAAAAGCTCTTGAGGAATTTTGCGAAAGTCTGTGAAGTGTGTTTGTGTGCATATGATATTTAAGCATGTCTGCTGCTCGTTAATCAACCGTAGCGATTTTTATGAGCGTGCAATAGAACGCACAAACGCACACAAACACACACACACACGCGCAATGCAAAAAAAAAAAAACTACAAAAGAGACGCAGAAAAGAAGGCTTTTGGTGTTAGAGGTGCAAAAAGCGTATTAGACGTTACATACATACATATTTACAAGCAAACAACTGCACGTAATGTTTTACAAATACAAAAGCAACAGAAGAGGTGTGTGCGTGTGTGTGTGTGTGTGTGTGAGTGTAATCCTTAATTAACGATTTATTGTTATTGATAGAGACGAACCGACACGAACGACAATAAACACCAAAACATGGCAGCTCAAATATTTATTATTTTTTACGTGTTTTTTTTTCTTAAATATTTTAACACAACTTTATTAAATGAATTCCTCATTTTTGTTTTTTTTTTTAATTATTTATTATTATTTTTTTTTTTGTGTTTTACAAGCAGCTAAGCCCCAAACCACGAAATTTTACATAAAAATAAATTTACAAAAAAATAGCTTTGTTAAATATTGAAGACAGATTAGTAGACAGTTACAAGCGTACATACATATTTCTAAGTGTATCGGTTATATTTATATGTTTGTAGGCGTGTAGTAATGGAAATGAAGGTGAAACAATTGACATTCTAACTTTTTACGAGGTAATTTTTTATTTGCTAAACATAGCGCTGTTGTTGTTAATAAATTGTTAGTAGCGAAATGAAACGTTATTTGCACTTGAAAAAATGACAAACTAATCGTTTAATAGCGTTATGGCTTATTTACTGTTTTTTTTCTTTCTACTAAAAGAGTATATCTGTTTTTTCGCATACAGTGACTTAGAAAATAATTCGTCTTTCATAAAAATTACTTGAAATATTGAAAAATTTATCTGCACATTTGACTGCTTAGAAAATTTGGAGACAGAAACACATAAAAAATTGCTATTTGCAAAAAAAATCTTGAGCTTGTTTGTTAAATTTTTTATATAAACAAATAGTTGTGATAAAAAAATTTAAAAGTTTTCACCGAATTTTTAAGTTAAAAAAACTTAATAAATTCAATTCAGACTTTGATTGAAGTCATTATTTGTCAATTTTACTTATTAATTTTCAGTTATATTTTTTCAATATTTGGGGAATTTTTTTATAATATTCTTACTTAAATTTTCTATTTTGTTTTATTCAATTTAATTTTCTTTGATTTGAGTTTTATTAATTTAAAATTTTTTTCCATATTTTTACTACTTTTGTTCAATATTTAATTCTATTTTATTTAATTTTTTATTTTTAATAAATTTTAATTATATTTTATTTTCGATAACTTTTAGTCATTTGATTTTAGTTTATATTTTATGTTTATTTAATTATTATAATATTTATTGTTTGTATTTGATTTAATTTAATTTTTTATTTTTAATAAATTTTAATTATACTTTATTTTTAATAACTTTTGACCATTTGATTTAATTTTTTATTTTATGTTATCTAATTATTATAATATTTATTTTTTGTATTTGGTTTTATGTTTGTTTAGTTTGAATTTAATTTATGTTTTATTTTTATGTAATTATTTTAATATTTATTCGTATTTTCTTTTATGTTTGTTTCATTTAATTTTTTTTTGGTTTTAGTTTAATTTATTTTATTTATTGTATTTTATTTTTAATTATATCTTACATTGTTTTGTTTGTTTTATTATATATATTTATTTTATTTGATTTGATTTTACTGATTTAATTTAATTTAATTTAATTTTTTTCATATCATTTTATTTTTTTATGTTTATACATACATATATATATATCGATTTTAGTTTGGTTTAATATTATTTTAATAATTGATTATTTTCTCTTGCTTAATTAATTTTAGACTATTTCATTATAAATTGTAATACTTTTCGTCAATTGTGTCACATTTATTTTTTTTATTTCATTTTATATTATTTTATTTTATATAATTGAATTTTTTTAAATTTAATTTACTTTATTTTTAATACTGTTTGATTTAAATTATTTGATTCTATTTTATTCTTATTTTAATTTATTTTGGACCATTGTTCTAATTGATTCTTATTTCATTTTATTTTCTTTTTTTTATTTTATTTTATTTCATTTTATTTTCTCTTTTTTATTTTATTTGATTTTATTTTGTTTTNTTTTATTTTATTTTATTGTATTTTATTTTGTTTTATTTCATTTTATTTTATTTATTTTTAGTTTGTTTTATTTTTATTTATATTTGTTTATTTTATATTATTTTATTCGAATTTATTATAAATATATTATTCTGTGAATTTAATTTTATTTATTTGATTTAATTAAATTTTTTTCTTACTTTTATTTTCGTTTATTTTTTTGTTTATTTTATTCCTATTTTATTTTTATTTTTATTTATGTTATTTAGTTTTATTTTTTTTCATATTATTTTATTTTGGTCTTGTTTAAATTAATTTTATGTCATTTAATTTGCGCTTCATTTTATATATTTTATTTCATTTTAGTTATTTCATTATAAACTTATTTTAAATCTTGTTTAAATAAATTATGCTTCCGTTGTTTATTTTTGATTTAATTATTTATTTTACTTAATTTAACTATTTCCTTTCATATAGATTTTTTGATATTAAATAAATGTAAATTAATTTCTTTCTTCCTCTCAGCTCTCCACTGAAAATTTTCTGAGTCACTGTGTGCTTGCTACTTAATTACTTAGATATGTATAAGTATTAGTAATTGTAAATGTACGAATACGTATTTAAATCTAATTTCTAATTGTATTTTTTATGATTTGGGGTTTAGCTCACCTATATTTGTTTGTATTGTAATTTTTAATTTCTATTGACGCTTCATTGATGCGCTTGTGTTGGTGAATATATATGTGGTATATATATTTATGTTTATATATATGTAGTTGGTATATATCAGCTTAACAAAAAATTAGCATACAATTTTAAAGCAGTTTAAATTAATTAATAAAGAGTTGCTTAAATTCACGCGGCTCTCTTATGATTTTGCTTAATTATTAAAAAGTTTGTTATAATTTTTTTTTTTTTGAAGAAAGTTTTTATTTTATTGATTTTAGGTTAAAATAAAGTTTTTAAAATTTAATATTGCTTAATTACTCCTTTAACGGTATTTTAAGAATAACTTTGTAATCTCGCTCTCTCTTTTAGTTTCGTTCATTGATTTACTCATCGCCTCTCTCATTTACTTAATTTCCACAATTCATTTTATTTAAGTATTTTTCATTTAATTAAATTTTATTTCATATTACGCTCTGTTCGTTATCATCAATTGAATGTATTTTATTTTAATTATTTATTTTATTATACGCTTTTTTAATTTTTTATTGTTGATTTTTGTTTTTGTGAATTCTTGTGTGTAGGCAAGTAGTAGTCTATTCTCCTTACCCCTGCGCCGATGACACTGGAATACTGCCGTAATTGTAGTAATAGCATCGGGTCTGTTCGCAAATGAAATCTTTCACAGCCGAACAATCTTCGGGCGTCCATTTCAATGTGGGCTGTTTCAAGATGACGCAACCCTTCTCAGCGCCGCTACTGCTGTAAAGGGTTAAATGAAGGGAAGAAATACGTATGTGGAAAGTGAGAAAAAGATATTTTTTAAAAATGATTAAATAAAAATATAAAACCGCATAATTAACGATTAAATGGATGATTAATTTAATTCTCCATTATATGATTAGAACCCTTCAAAACACGCCCACTCACCTGTCACGCGCCGTCCGTTGTGGCGAAGTGTTGCTATTGTGATCGACCGGATCGAGCAAACCGGCTTGTATGGCATCAGCCGAGTTCTCGAAGAAATCAAATGTGGCATTAAACGGCAGACCAGTGCTCATCCATAGGAACATGCCAGTGCCCAAGCGATTGCCGGAAGTCCAGAAGTCATAATTCCCATAACCGGCATTCTTTAGATAGGTAGTCATTGATTCGGCTTTCTCCTTCGTTTCGAACGACGCCAATTGCAAGCCCAACGAACGGCAATACTGATAGGCAAGGAAATAGTTGAGTTCGGGTGAGTAGGGATTCATGCGGCTAATGAAGTATTGTACGCCATCCAGATGTATGGTGGTGATGCGTTGAGCTGGAAGAGGAGAACAAACAAAAAGAGAAAAATAAAATTTACTATATAAATGTATGTGTGTAGGTGGCGGGGTTTTTGTTTATATTTATAAATTATATAAGTTAAAAAACTCTAATTCAATTCTTTTTCATTTTTTTTTATATTTATTTCCAATTCGATTAATTCTTTTTCTTTTTTTGTATATATAATATTTAAAATTATTTTATTATTTTATTTATATTATATTTGAATTATTTTTAATTTTATATTATTTTAGTTAATTAGTTTTTTTTTAATTTTTGTTTTTATGTTATTTTATTTAATTTAATCTTATTTTATTACTTTATTTTATTTAGCTGTTATTTATAATTGTATTTCATTTTAATAAATTTAGTATTTTTTAATTTAATTTAATTAATTTTCAATTTTTAATTTATTCAAATTTGTTTCGATCTATTTTTTTTTTTTGATTAAATTTACTTTAATTAATTTATTTATTTTTGAGTTATTTAACTCAGCATAACTTTTTTGCCCCATTATAATTTTTTATTTAATTTGATTATATTTTACTTTGTTGTCATTTTTTTAATTAATTTTTTTAAATCACTTTATTTAATAGTATGCTATTTTTTAATTTATTTTTTTTTTTTAGTTTTTCTTTATTTAAATTTTATTTTCTTTAATTTAGTTTAATTTTATTTTACTTTGTTTTATTTTTATTTATTTTATTTCTTTTTTTTATTTATTTTATTTCTTTTTTTTTTAAATTTATTTCATTTTATATTATTTCTTATTCAAATTTATATTAATTCTTTTGTTTAATTTTAGTTTGTTTTGGGTTATTCTATTTTTATTTCTGTGTTATTTTATTTGATTTTGTTTATTTTAATTAAATTTTATTTCACTTTATTTTTGTTTACTTTGTTTTATTTTATCTTATTTTATTTTGTTTTATATTCTTTTATTTTATTTTATTTTATTTTATNATCATAATTTATTTTATTTTAATTTAATTTTTATTTTGTCTTTTCATCTTCATTTCTATTTTATTTATTAATTTTATTTTATTTTAATTTAATTTTTATTTTGTCTTTTCATCTTCATTTCTATTTTATTTATTAATTTTATTTTATTTTAATTTATTTTTTTATTCTATTCTATTTCATTTATTATTTTAATTTTACTTTAATTAGTTTTATTTTGTTCTTCTATTTTTATTTATATATTTTTTATTTATGCCGTTTTATTTTAATTTTGTTTTCATTAATTTCTTTCATTCCAATTTAAATTTTTTATATTATTTCCTGTTTGTTTTATTTTACTGTTATTATTATTATATTTTATGAATTAGTTTAATTTGCTTTGTTAATTTTTTTTATTTCATATTAATTTGCTTTTATTCATTTGTTATTCCATTTAACTATCGCTTACTTTCCTTTGAGTATATTATGAAATAAATTGTATATATTTTTATATATGTATGTATCTATGTGTGTATATAAAAGCGAAAACGATTATTTGAGCCTTTTCACTGAATATTCTAATTTTTTTATATAATATACATATATCATTTTTAATTTTTAATTGCTCTTTTATATATTTCTTATATTTGCCATTCATGAGTACCCCGAGCCGTATTGTTATCGACACAGGCACATACACGTGTACAAGTGTGGCATATATTATAAATTATTCTGAACATGAGCTTCCCAACTTCCGATGGCTGTTTTGTGCACCTCAAAGTGTGAGCATAGTTTTAATCAGTTAAGGTTTCAAAAATATACATATATGCATAAAGTCATATGTATGTGTGTATATAAATATATTTGAGTACTTTTAAACGCCTCGGGTGTAGGCAAGTAAGAGTATGTCTTGACGCGCTTCAAGCCAGCCGCTGGGTGGCATGTACAACAAATCTGCATTTATAAATGTGACAAGCACGCATGTGTATAGATACATATGTAGATATGTACATGTATACAAACATACTTAAAATGCATATTTATATGTTTGCTTTGAGACCTTTGCAGCGTTCTTCATTGATACTTTTCGCTGCTTCCACTTCAACTTAATTCATATAAGCCTACGATATTCGTCTATTTTTTTTTTGCTTTTTTTCTTCATAAATATGCATATTTGTACACATACAATATATGCATACATACAATATATGCATACATATCTGCATATTTGTTTTTCCTTTTCCTTGTAATTTTTTCTTTAAATAAAAAGTCCATTTACTTTTTGACGAATGTCACAAATGTGGAAATATGACAGTCATGCCCCATGCTTCTCCCTCCCTCCGGCTCTCTTCTTCGCCTCTTTTGTAAAATCTGCGTTAAATGAATTGTCTGACTGTTGGGCTGCACTTAAGATAAATAATAAATTTACATATGCAAACATTTTATTCAGTTTTTATTATTTAGTCAAATCTGCGTCCATATACAATATATATATGTATAATACATACATACATATGAACGCACGTTCGAACATCAATAAATATTTAAATTCCTTAACATTCCTTTCCTTTTCCTTTGCTTTGTTTGCCTACGAAATGCCCAAGGAATGTCTGTCCGTTTGTCTGTCTGTCTGTCTGTCTGTCTCCCGCCTTGGCGAACCTGCGCGTGTGCACACTCCTTTCGTTACGAAGTGAAGTGTTGAAAAAGGTCAAAAAGAAAGAATGAAGTGAACAAACAACAAACAAACAAAAAATAAACAGAGTGGGATAATGGAAAAAATGCATAGATTTTTTATGACTCATTCAATATTAGCTCTTGGGTTTATTAGCCCTCAAGCCTTAGAATGCGATAAATATGATTTGAGGGGCAAAAGGAAAGGAGTTGTTGTAAAATCTAAGATTCCTCAATTAGCTATTGTAAAATGCACCTCCATTTGTCAAATGGCTTGCATGTGTCAAGTGAAGTGCTGAGAGTGAAACTAACCTCACTTTTCGAAATCTTTAAGTGTGGTTAGTTAACGCTTTACTTAATATTAATTAGACAGCTTTTATATGTGGAAATCTTCAATATAAAAGAGTTTTCAGACTATTTGGTAAGGTCAGTGTGGCTATGTATGCATGGAAGATGGAAATATGGTGGCTTTAAGACAAATTCTGAAACAATATTGGCAGTTTTGCCGCAAATCTTGCACTTTGGTATGCTCAATTCGATTTTTTAGAGAGTTATAGCCTCTGAGATAGTTTTTTAAAAAGCTTTAAAGCTTTTTTAGAACTTCTATGTGATGATGATAGTTTAATTCACACTGAAACTTATCTAGAGGTCTTCAAATTAGACACTTTTGCTCTAATGAATAGTTTTCAAAAGTTTCCCATCTCAATCTATTGAGAAATTTTAAGGAATATGAATTTTATTGCATCTGATAGGTATAAGAAAAGAATTCTTATGAAATTACTAATTTATTTAGTAAACGCTAAGTTCTATGGGGTAGACATAACCTCAAAAATTTATAATAGAGTACAACTGACAAGAACTTGAATATTTTGTACAAATTTTGAGGTTTTTTGGGTAGATGGTTTTGAAAAAAATTTAAATTGAAATCAATTTTTTTTTAAGTATTTATTAATAGTAAAATTACAAAAAAAAAATAACAATATTAAAAGCATATAGCATATAGCATATTTGTATTTTTTTTTTCAAACAAATAATATAGATAACAAAAAATTAATAATTTGAAATAAAATACTGACGGACTCATTGTTAAAAAAATAAATAAATTAAAAAAAAATAATAATAAAAATACGAAATGTCGGCTTTTCTCAAAAAAAATCTTTTTCAAAAAAAAAGAAAACTAATTAAAATAAAATTAAAAATAATAATAATAAAAATAAAAATAAATTTGCGATTTTCAAACAAAAATATTAAAATTATAAAAAATAACGTTCAAATGCTATTTATTCACTGTCTCACAATATAAAAAAAATAAAAAAAAAAATAAAATTATATTCCTTTGGCTCTTTTTAAATGAATTGTTTTTCAGAAAATCAATTAGATCAAATTATAAAATAATATTAAAAATAAGTAAACAAATTTTTTGGGGTTTTTTTTAGGAATAAATGGTTTAACCGCAAGAAAATTAAGGTATTAAAAAATTTATAAATATCAAATAAAATTCAAAAAATATTCACTGAGCTACAAAAAAAAAAATATAAAAAAACAAAAAAATTAATAATTTTTTTTTGCCTTTTTTTAAATGAATTGTTTTCTAAAAAATAAATAAGAATCAATCATACAAAAAAAAAAAAAATATAAAAGCAAATATAAAGATATTAATGGTTTTTCGTAATAAATTGTTTTACCAACAAAAAATAAATTTAATAAAAATAAATAAAAATAAAAGTAAATACAATAAAAAAGTGAAAAAAAAACTAAAACATAAAATAATTAATTGGTTTTCATTAAATAAACTGCTTCACATAAAAAAAAGTAAGTAAAATCAGTTCACAAAAAAAAATTAAATAAAAAATAATTAAAAAGTATTTGGATTTCTCAAAGAAAAAAAAATATTGAATAAAAAAATAGAATTAAAAAATTATTCATTGAATCACAATACATTATTATTTATTTTAATTCAATGTAAGTAAATATTTAAGGGCTTCGTCTATTCTAAATTCAGTTTCATAATCTACGCGAATTATACTAAAAATCCCAAGAAATAAATGAAATTCAAAATACGTCGTAATTCACTTTTTTATAAATATATCAACATATATATATATATATATATATATATATATACGGTCATTTCATATTAAACGTATCAGTCATATATATATATACGGTCATTTCATATTAAACGTATCAGTCTTCCACGCGCGGGCCTTCGATACGGCTAAAACTCAACATAAGGTTTAATTTCATGCCAAAACTAGCAGAAATCGACTTAAAACAATTTTTAAAAAATGAGATCTTGAAGTTATGGGCGCAAAACAAAGCAGAGATCGTTGTTGCTGATGGCTAACTGATCTAAAGAAATTTAGATTTTAAGCCACGGGCTACATATCTGCATATCTGTTGATTTAAAAATATAAATACATGTTCTGATTCCCCCTCAGTGGTGTAGCAAATGCAGGTTCGCAGCTTAAGTCTTTCGTTTAAGAGCAGATCATTGCCAAAGCAATACTTGAAAAATGTGATTAAATTTTTAAATAATTATTTATAGTAAAATATTTATATTGCACTTAACTTCATAAACTTATTACACTCCAGTTAAAATCATTATTATTTGACAATTATTCTTTTACTCTTCAAACCTATGCGTCATTAGCCAAATATTCGAGCTCCACCACATACTGGACTAAAATTACCGTTCAAAAAAGTAATAAAAAAATAGAAAGCCGCTAATTCATAGCCATATAACTATAATTCATAATTTGTATGCATTTAACGGTAAATAATTAAAAATTCTTTTATTAATAAATTTATTAGAACATTTCATTCACGACATTCAGCTTACTCAATGCTACTCGATACCATATTTAGCATCAGCAAATCTAATATAGTCAAGTATGCTATTTGCTTATGCAAATCAATAACGGTTATAATAATTATGAAAATGGAGAATTAAAGTATTTTGGTGAGCAATAAGAATATTACACATCTTAGAGTTATTTGAAATAGACGAAGAAAAAAAAATATACTAAGTACGATTAAGGAGAATTTTAATTGATATTGACGGTTAGTGACCTTTAATTTATTTGCATTTGTAATCTCAATACATACATATGTATATACCTGTAGCTATATTTGTACACATGGCACTCAGTGTCTTTGCATGAAGTCAAAAAATGCTTGAAAACATTTTCTTGGCAATGAATGAGGGTTATGTGGCACATATCTATATATTACATATATAATAGTATATATAATTGACTATTTGTAACTGTTCAAGCGATTTTCGGCTTATCAATTTAAAATTTATTACCTCATACATTTCGATTAACCAAGCATTTATTCTATATATTTACATGAATGGATAGTGAAGCAATGTTAGTTTACATTTCTCTGTTAGCGTTTGCTGTTAGTGTTTAAAGGCAGAGTTTGTGGAGCAGCTCTGGACTTAAAACCGATTATTTGGTTTATGACTATGCCAAATTCTTTTAGAACAGCATGAGAGATGAAAATATATTGTTTTTGTTAATAAGAAAATTTTTAGGAATTAAAAAAATATAAGTATAAAAATTAATTATTTATTTGTTATTAAAAAAATTTTTAGATATTAAAAAAAATTAAAAATATAAGCATACAAAATAGTTAATTATTTGTTATTAAGAAAATTTTTAGGAATTAAAAAAATATAAGTATAAAAATTAATTAATTATTTGTTATTAAAAAAATTTTTAGATATTAAAAAAATTTAAAAATATAAGCATACAAAATAGTTAATTTTTTTGTTATTAAAAAAATTTTGAGGCATGAAAAAAATTTACAACTCTTTTAAAGTCATTCGTGCTAGGCAATAAAAAATTATAAATAATATAATGGGTAAATCGTTTTTATTCAAGAAGCCCGATTTTTTAATTAAAAGGTGAAACGATTTTAATTTTAATTTTTGACAAATAAATATATTCCATTAATTTCTTTTTATTATAAATATAGCTTTTTTTTTAAATTTCTAAACATTTAGAAATATTTATTTTACATTCTTTTATTAATAAAATTTCAATAAAATCTGATTTGCTTCATATATATTTCTTAAATATTTTGTTAAACCCCATTTTTCCAATCCCTCCAAAACTGCTTTTTACTTTTATATATCTTTTTATATTTATAGAAACTAAAAGACTATAAACGTGTGAAATTTAAAATTAGCTGATTTTTCATCAAAAAAAATAAAAAAAAATTATTAATATAAATAAAACTTAGAAAATTTCAATAAGATTTTTTTGTTTTAAGCAAAAAAACTTTTTTTGTTTTATGTAGACGATTTAATATTATTATTATATTAGATCATAATGAATTTACTATTTTTTTCTACACAAAAAAACGTAATTTGTGGTTTTCAATAAAAAATTAATAATTAATTAATATTAAATTAATAATAGTTTTGATTTTTTAATAATTAAATATATAAATTTACAAAATATATTTGTTATTAGTAAAAGAAAATTTTTTGTTTGTTTTTGTATGCCGAGCAACAAAATGTGCTTTAATATAATAATAATAAAAAAAATATTTATTTCTGGTTTTTTTAATAATTAAAGTAATTCCAATTTATAAACTATATATTTTATAAGTAAAAAAAATTAACTTCTGAATTCCGAGCAATGAAGGTATTTATTAAAATAATTCAAATAAAATATTTATTTTTGGTTTTTTGATAATTAAAGTAATTCCAATATATGTATACATTTACAAAATATAATTTTTATGTATAAGGAAAAAATTTAAATTTTTATTTTCCGGGCAACAAAAGGTTTACAATAATAAAAAAAAAAATTTTATCAATAAATAAATCTAAAAAAAATTATTTGTTTTTATTAAAAATTTTCTTAGTCAAAATATGAACTAAAAAAAAGTAATTATTTTATTTTCTATATCAAAATGTTTTATTAATTTTTTTTTTATTTAACCATTTTTTTCTATAAAAATTTAAGAAATTTATAACCTTTTTATAACATGTAAAGCTAGAACTTAAATCCTTTCCAACAGCAGCTCATTTGTCTTATTTGAAATTTTTCGAATTCTTCGCACATTTTCATCTAAAAAATTCCTACAATTTCCTGTGACAGATACATAAAGGATTTTATGCTAACAGCTACATATAACATACATACATACAGCCTGTTAACCATTATACTCTATGGAAGAGCTGCCGCGCTCGCAGCGGAGTATACACACAACGGATGCTGAATAATTAACATTCTTTAATGAAAGCCCCGTAAAAAAAAATAAAAAAATTAAAAAAATAAAAAGCCTCAATTATTTATCAAAATTTTAAAAGAAAAACCTTTATCATTTATGTATGTATTCTTGTGAGATACCAAAAATATTGCTGACAAATTTTTTTCTGACCATTTTTCCACTAAAACAATTTACATTATTCTCCTCTGATTATTTTTTATTATTATTATCTATTATTTATATATTTATTTTGTACAAACCTGAAGCACAGGCTAACACGCTAAGTAAACAGAATAAAATTATTTTCGCCATTTCTTCGTTGTCTTTTCTCGAACTCCTGCTTCCTCTTATTATACTTTTGCAAGGCACACAACAACAGGACAGACTCTTTCCGCCAATTAATCGAACACTAATAACCAATTTTTCAACTTGTTGCACTATTATATATAGAACTACAACACTTTATATATATATATGTATGTATATATATATATATCTGTATGAGGGTGTGTGAGTGTGTGTGAAGTCAGTGTAAATTGTTTGAAAATTTTCTAGTTCCGTGAACGAGCGAGAGACACGTTCTTTCTAGATCGCTGCTAAAGTCCAACTGACACAAACCCGGCGATGACAAGAACTCTAAAGTCTTCTTCCTCGTTTATGACTGTGTGGAATACCACAATGGGATACTTAAGTCATGGCGGCTTCGTTTTTGCTGACTTCTTACACTTCTTCATCTGTTGCTTCTGCTTCTTCTACTTCGTGTTGACTTCAGTTTCAATACGAATTGACTTCTTTGACTTTTAATCGTGTGCATGTGTGTGTGTGTGTGTGTGTGTGTTGCATTGTCGCTTTGTCGCTTCGGTTCATTTTAGACTCAGCTTAGGTGTGTATGTGTGTGTGGTTAATCCTTTGAGCCAGCGGCGGTAGTGCACATACTCACGCACATACACGGAGCTGTGCTCCAATACCAAAGTTATTCAGTTGGATTTGTTGTTGTTGTTGTTGTTGTTTTTGTTCTATGCTCGTTCTGTCTTTGTGAACGGATAACAATTGCGCTGTCTACTAATGCTATGTGATCGTGGCACCGCGGACGCTCAGCGCCTAACAGCTCCTCAAAGCAGAATATACAAGCCAGGCAGAGACGCACACACAGCCGCACACACACACAGAGACACACATAATACCACTGAAATCTTTTAGTTATTTTGTTTCGTTTTCAGTTTTTGTTTGTGTCTCCCCTTGCCGTTGCTGCTGCTGTTGTTCTTCTTGTTGCTGCTGCTCGCGGTGAGCTCGTTTGTTGTAGTGAGTGATGTGCGAAATGCTATTTAATCAAGTTCACGGTTGCTAAGGTTAAGAATGAAGTTCGTTCGTTCGCTCCTTCGCTTGTTCGTTGGCTCAACTCCAAGAACTTCTAAGCACAAGACAATTGGACAACCGCGCAAAGCGGAACGGACGTACGGATACACAGAGAGGCTGTTTGCCATTGTCATTGTGGTTGTTGTTGCTGCACGTTTGGGCGGATATGAGGCTAAATGGGATATGCAGACAAACAACACACTAGCTCACCTTCATCCCATCCGAACCCATCCCATCCCATCTCGACAGAGCCGTTAAAAATTCCAAGCAGGAGATCAATGCGCATTAACGTTAGTCCGTCCGGCCGTAGCGCAATTGGTGAAGGTGGCTACGGTCACCACTGTATTGCGGCCGCCGCGGCGGTAGAAATTGTGGCGATGGAAATTGTGGCGGTGGCGTCTGCGCATTGAGCATAAATAAATATTTGGAAAAAAAGACAGCGCGCTATAAGACACGTAAGAGCCCATCTGTATGAGTGTGTATGCAGCTACAGTGGTGTGAAGTAAAATTGTTGTGAGTTGACGAAATTTTTAGTGCACAACCAATGAGTTGGACTGGGATTTTTACATGTCGGGTGTCTGATCACAACGAGGTCGTCCTAGGAAGCCTTATATCGGTTAACAGATAAGAAGAACTCGTAAAAGCCAGACTTTAAATGAAGGATGAAGGTATAGGCGTCGTCCAACAGGAGAAATACGGAGAGAGGTCTTCCCAGACTATTTCTGGACTACTTCCGGTCAAGTGCTTGCAGAATTCTGGAATTCTTATTTACAATTTTGAAGCAAAGCTTCTAAGCCGAGTAAGTCTCACGGTCAGCCACCAGGATTCCGCCGTGATAAAAGAAACTTTTTTGTTGTAGAACTAAATATTTAGGAGCGAAGAAACTTTTGTTTGCCATCGTTGTTATCATCTAATGGGAGGTGAAATACATGAGCTGTTGCGGTGGGTTTGGGTCACCCAACGAATTAGCACAAGGAGATTCACGAGACTGTTCGAATACTACGTCTGCAATGGCCAGTGCGTGGCCACCCATGACGTACTTCATGGAGATTCAGTGTGAGTAAATGTGGATGTCCTCTTCGCAAGTTTAATGTCGTTCAGACTCTGTTTAGGTCATTACTGTTAGTTAACCCTACAACGGTCATCAAAAGCTCCATCGAAATCGTGAAATTGCTCTCCGAGAATGAGAATAAGTCGCCATGTCTCATGTCTCATGTCATCATACAAATAATCAACGCAGTGTACAGTCAGAACAGTCTGACTTTGGCTACATCGTCTTAACCAATGGATGGCTAAAAAGCTTTCGTTGCATCAGCTGCCCCTGGAGGCAGATGAAGAGATTACTCCGCGCTGTAGGATTACCTGGCTTCCCATGGTGCGCCCAATTGGCGGGGAGTAGCGCAAAAAGGCACTATTGGAGTGTTTTTGTTACTCCAAAAGGGAAGAAAAAGATTCTCCCTGCTTCGGCTTGGTATTTTCTGCCTCTTCCATTTCTCTACTTCTTATTCTTATCTTTTCTTATAATTTTTTTCTTGTTTTCAAAAGACATTGTGCCGGACTTTCCCACATCAATGTAGTGCATTACGCAGCAGCAACAAAGCAACAGCAACAAGGCAACAACAACAAAGCAGCAGCGACGCGATTAAACCAAGCGGCGTCAATTGGATGTTCCATTCCAGTGGGATTCTTATAATACGAAGATTCCTATTCCACATTATCGTTATTGTTGTTGTTGCCAATTTCTTTCTTTTTCAATTCTTGCCCCCTCCACCCTCCATATATTTATTTTCTTTATTGTTTTTGTATATTTTTTTTTTTTTTTGGATCACGTTTTGTGGTTTTGTGGTCGGAAATAGTTTTTTCCGCAGTTAGTAGGCGAGGAAGAAGAAGAACAAGAAGAAGAAGAGGAGGAGGCAGAGTATGGCGTAGCGTAGAGTTTTACTTACGCGCAAGCGCACTCATATAGTTTTTACTTAGTGGAGCCCAAGTGGGTATGTATGTATGTATGTATGTATGCATTTGTTTATGTATGTGCTTTTGATATGCTTTCATGTGTATGCGTATACATATGTACATACATCTAGACAATTGACTTTGGTTTAATGCGTTTGGCTATGCTCGCCGCTCGCGCATTCATTCGTGTCCGGTGATACGCATGTACATATATGTATATGTATGTATGTATGCATGTATGTATTGATTCCCGCCTGCGTATCCACACAAGCCTACATATCGATATATTTGTGCTCGTATTTTTAACCATGATTAACCAAAGTCTTGGGGTTTCTTCGGTGTTGCGTATTTTCCTGAGCTCTTTTAAGCGAGAGCGGATTTATGTGCGTTTTTTCTACTGTAGTTCTCTTCACGGTTTGCTCCTGCTACTTTTTCTCAATAATTCTTTTATTTTAATTTTATTTTTTTTAATATTTTCCTTCTTTCAAATAATTTTTTCGTGTCTTCCGACTTGCACTCGAGCTCTCATTGTTCATTTAGACCTCAATTTGATGCAGAGTCCATCAGCAGTAATAGGCTCTCTTCTTCATTATTATTTTATTTCCTTCATTTTTATTTTCCTCTCTTCTCCTTTGCTTTTCTGCGACATAATTTCAAATGACTCCGCTGATCTCGACGCATCTCGACGCATCACAACGCACTCGCTGGCCGGTGCAAGCGTAATGTGCCACACTCCTTGATATTGGCATAGTAGTCAAGGTAAAAGGAGCGCAACCGCAGCCCGCGTCCTTCATGGCCGCCAGCGTTGTGGCAATGACTTTGGTCATTGCGAAGACGATGATGATGACGCTGTCGATGGCGCTGGCGTTGGCGATGGCGGTGGCGATGGTGATGGCGAAGGCGAAGGCCACTGTACAAGAAATGCCGCCATCTCCGCGCCGGCCCGTGGCCGTTGTGCTCGTTTTCATGCTATTTTTAAACATTTTTATAGTTGTTATCCATGGATTTTGAAAGGTGGCTTTATTGCAAATGTCAATCTCGATCTGGCGTGCAACGTCCACCACAAGGGTCGGCGTTCCCGCTGCGCCGGGTGTGTAATCGTGTAGGTGTATGTGTAGTAATTATTTCAAATATTCTTTTCTTATTATTATTGTTTGTGTTGTATTGGCCGAAGGACTACAGTTGGTCGTAAGAAACATATATAGACATTTTTCTTTTTTATACAGAAGAAGGACAATCTTGTTCTTCTTCTCCTGTAGAGGCTATTAAAATTTTGCAGCAGACAAGTTGTTTCCACAAAGAGAAAAAGGAAGCAAAAGACACCAACAATATATGTGCATACATATATATAATACTTGATGATTTTTATATTCAAATCGATTAACTAAAGTAGTTTGAATGAGCAAGGAGGAGAATGTCTTAGATCCTTTAAAACCAAGGCAAGACAATAAAAGCCATTGGAATTGGCTCATAAAGTTGGCACGGCCATTTCGTCTTATTGCAAGCTCTTACCAATTCAAAGGCCTTCAAAGAAAGCACAGATTATCAGCACTTCGGTTCGGTTTTCCCCACAAAGGAGTTCTTTTTACTCTTTAGCTAAGCTGGTAATTGCATCAAGGTTTATTGCTGTTGCGAAGATCCATTGTCGAGATCCTTTGCCATATCAATAGGTATTAACAATCGAGGTGAAAGGAGAAAAAAGTTTGGTACTCAGCTTAAGCCAGTAATCGTCCAAAAATGTGGCTATTGATCCAACCCCGACTGTGCAGGTTGTAGGGAAAGTTGTTAGTTTCCTAGCCATGAGATCAAACGACCGCTATGGACAAAGCATTAGCAGTGCTTGTTAACAAGCGGAGGGCCAAGCATTCCCATCCAATATCTAAAATTATAGAAAAGTTCTTTTATTTTTCTAAAAACGGTAGTACTTCGAAGGAGAATTTCCATCCCTCCGAGTGCACTTCGGATATGAAATTAAAAAGTTTGTCTTAAGACTCCATCAGCAGTTCGGTGGTGGATTAGAATAATTTGGGAGATACACTGCATTCATGGGAAAGACATTTTGAAATTTGAGAAGGAGCTCGGCCGATCGTATCAGCGATTATTCGCATCTTGTCTCCCACGTCGTTCAAGACAGTCTTATATTTAAGGTAGACAAATTCGTTCACTAGCCCTCAGAAGCCAACTTGTCAGCCTAGACTGAGCAGTCAATTGAAAATTGAAGTTCTCCGCCGACGGAAAGAGACCAAACTCTATAGGACGCACAACATTCCTATCCTATTTTATGCAATAGGGCAACAGCTTGAACCTATTGGGTCGTTTCTACAACTTTTGGA